CGTGAAGTATGAACCGGGCTGTACCCAACCAAAGCCGAACCAAAACTTGAAGTTGAAGGTTGACATGCATAAATATTTATAGACAATGTAAAGGGCCTACTATAAAAAGGAAATTCCAAACTTTACAAGTAAAAGACTGCATGTTTCTCAATGACATGTATAAATGGCATTAAGTGTGAAGTGAAAACGAGGACATCAGCTGATCCGAGGAAACTTTCAGAAACTTTCAGGAAACTTAAATCAGCCACAAACATACCGGTAGTATACGTACCGGTATGCCCACACAAATATGTTTTAATTGTCAATACTACCGGTACATGTACGTACAATATAATTTTGCTTTGTCCCAGCAACCATTCAATTAGGTAAAAAAATGTTTGGAGGACATGGAACAGACAGACTAAACAAATGACTCCTTTATTTGGCTTATGAGTCTCAACCTGGTTCCTTTGTAGTTGTACCACTGCATTGTCCCCATGAACTCTGCAACAGGTCAATCAGTAGGCCAGCTCTGGCAGACGTTTCCTGTTAGAATACATGTACGTACTATTGATAATAATATTTTCTGGGTTTTTTCCCATACAAATTGTACCTTGCACTATTGCACATTTTGTAAGAGGTAACTTTTGATCTAATATTAATTAAAATAAATTTCCTCCAAATTCAACATTAGCTCTACATGTACTTTTTACATGTACCGGTAACTCCTCCAGCTGAAGTTCGGCAAAGCGTCAAAAGTGGTCACCTTCTTCATGTATAGCTCCATGATGTAAGCCACCTTCAGGCTACCAAATAAAACAACTCTCCAGGATTTCATGTAAATTTGAGTCAAAAAAAGTTCCGAAAATTGCATTTACTTATAATTATCCTGATAAGTGTAAAGTGCAATATCGTTTTAAACGATATTGCACTGTACACTTATAAATCAGGATATATATGTAATGCAATTTTCGAAACTTTTTGAAACAACACAATTCACTGACTGAGTAAACTAAACTTGTAATGCACTAATTTTAGCATACGTGTACAATACGACTATGTGTACATACATGTACATACATCACGTGTACATTTGGTATGGGCGTTGATCTACCGGTACTGCCCTGACATTCCAGTGGTGCAAATGTGGGTTCAAATAAAACGAGAATGATCTGCTACACGTGAATACACAGGCCAGCATGTACACGTATACCAGTATGTACCAAGTCAATCATGATCAAATACACGTAGTTAGTTTGTGATAAAAGTGTATTGAGGTATTGTGGTGAAATCACATTTATTGCTGCTCAATAATGCTAGAAAATTCCTTCTGGGAAGATGTGTTTTTCTTAAGCTGGATGATAAAACCGTAAAATTGCCACACAAAAAAAACCCCTTGAAATTGCCTAATTTTGAAATCATATGTATCGGTAGTTGTGTTGATGATTTTGTTAAAATAATTTTTTTCAGTTTCAGGGTGTAAATGATCATTGGTTTTGTACACGCAGACCTTGTACACGTTATTTCAATGCACTGCCAAAACATAACAAGCTTTCTTCTATCATTTTCCTTGCTCTATTGAATACCATTTAGGCCAAGCAGTGGTCACACTTGTACGCGTTGGCCTACATACATATTTAACCTTTTGGTCTTTGTCCAATGGTCAAACCATGGACATCTGTATGTAAATGTACAAAGGTCCCTTGGCAAACAAGAAAGCAAACACAGTGTTTGTTCTGACCCAATAAAATTCAAAACCCCTCTCATCAAATACAGAAATTACACATCAGACCCAAGAGAGCTCGGCTAACAATCTGGGCATTTAAAAGAAAAACCTACAAAAGTGTACGCTATGGTACATGTCTAAAATCCCATCAACAAGAAACAGAACGATCAACCAACAGTGAGGAATATTTATATTAAATCAAAGTTGTTACGCATCCAAGACCTACCGGTACTTGTACGTACAGTACAAAAACAAATTTATGTAACAAAAGTTAAAGGGAATGTACAACATTTGCTTTTGCTGCAATTTTCAGAAATAAATGGATTTGGAGGATGAGTATATTAGCAAATATTGTTAAAATGACTTGTTTCATGTTTTGGGCTTGTAGATGTTGGAAAAACCAAGAAAACCATTCATGTTCTTGTAGTCTTGTTCCCCTGACCCCACTTAAGATGAAACAGAGAATTTATAGGCTTTGGGGAATTGTAGGGCCTAAGATAAGAGAGTCAGTCTTGTAGGCTTGTACCCCTTCACAGTTGTGTAATCATTTGCAAAGAAAACACGGAATAACAAATTATGAAAAATTAGGAGCAGTTTTGAAAAAACAGTCAGTTTTCTCCAACGCTGGTCGGCCGACCAGCGATGGAAAAATACCATTTTTCTTGAAAATGCCAGCACACCAGGAGTCACGATTTACAGGATGCTTTAGACTGTCATTCCCTAACAATCCAGCAAGGTATTTAGTGATAACTTGATCATTTCGTTTTGTAATGTTTGCAAATGATGTATCTTCCCTTTAACACCCCTTAAAGACAACAAACACAAAAGTCCAATGCTCTTGTAACTATATATCCACAACAATTCCTTAATTAAATGTATCTCAAGTGGACATGTACATTGTACATACCGGAAGATACATGTACATGCATGACAAAACAGTTCACATGATTGATGAAGTCAATTTTTGAAACTTCAATCATAAACACCTTTCACTTTTTACATGTTAATTCTATTAGAAATCAAGCAAGTAAATTAACAGGTCGGAAGTGCTGAACGATTTTGCATTTTTAAAACACTTCTTTGAGTTTGAAGGATGGAATCTAGGCCACTAAGTCTAAGCCCTGAGATTTTTCTCAAATTCCCAACAAAATTTATCAATAATATTAATAACTAGGCCTACATCAACGTATAAAATCTCCTCATAAAATATCAAGAATTGGACAAGCTGCGAGGGAGCAATCATAAACCAAGGTTCGATCCTTTCCAGTGACCCTTTATTAAACCTCTCACAGACCCCAACAGAGCTAGAGTTACATGACGGAATCAATCCCAGCCCACAGATCCCCCCCCCCCCCCCCCCCACTCTACAACAAAGCTGCCCACCCAAGCGATGAAACAAGCTGGAGGTATTTCTGCTCTGAATGATTTTTGTTTTGGTACAAACAGGGCTTGCAATTTACATAGCAATTGTGTCAACTTCCTGCCCCATACAGCAAGCACCAAAAGGTTAGCTCAGGCATTACAAGGCCGGGTGTCTATTGATCATGAACAGCCATTTGAATGCAATACCTGGGTAAAAACTCGGCCTCCTGTGCTCTGTGCTGGGAAGCCCTTTACAGTCAAGGGAAACCGCAGAGCTCTGAATCACCAGTTCATGCATGTGCTATGTTAGTTTTGGGGGTTAGTTTGGTCAGGTAGACCAGTGTTTACTTGTCAATGTCAGCATTCATGCACGAAGATCAAGAAGTTGTAAACAGTTCTGCAGAGTGTTTTGAAGTAGATTTAATTTTCCAACTAAATGTATGTGTGTGTTACACGTACATGTAAGTACTTAATGTAAAAGAAAGTACACTCCAGCATATATGTACATGTAGTTGGTAATCAAAAAAGAAATTATAAAAAAAATCTGCTCAAATAACCCTAACCCCCAAAGGGCTGTTTGGGGATCAAGTACTAAATACTACAGAATTCTACATGTGCTGTGCACACTTGCATCATGGAAAGAATTTCATACTACAGGTTACTCCTCATAGTATTTTGTAGCATTGGGGGCGGAAAATACTGAACAAAACTTGAGCTTTGAAAGAAATTCTCATTTAACAATCACATTTGTTGCAAGAGTGATTTTTTTTCTGTACCTAATTAGAAAACATGAACATTTTATCATTGTTTTGACACATTTGGAATAACCACATTTTGTACACTAACTTTATCTTCTAGAGTACATATTTGTATTCACATGAAATCCCAAACTACTTCAGTTCCCACACTGAAGAAGTCACATACAGGTACTGTGCAGCTTGATCAGTGTAAAATAATTTTCTAGTGTTACAGATGGATTTAATACAATGTACAAGTTGCGACAGGATGCATGGTTGATGAGTTTCACATTGTATTACAACAAATTGCTACAGTCTTTATACACATAGTTCTAGTGCATGTACTACTAGCAGTACTTGAGTCTACAAGACCTAAAAAAGCTGAACTCCTGTAAAAATAATTGGCCTCCTATTCATTGACTGGCCCAATTTGGAATTTCATAGTACTGTAAGTTATTACAACCATAATGAACAAATTACGCTTGTATGGAGTACCGAAGTGTGACGTCATTTTGAAACGGGAAGTGTGGTGCAAATGAATGGAGTATATTGCGCACATGTTGTTTCACAGGCTGAATCACGCGCTGTACACATACGTGTTACACTTTTACACACATATAATTACGTGCAAGATGTATTCACTTAGTTTTAAATCAGAAACTATCTGATACTCAATGTGTTACCTCCCGAGTGAAAGTAAGAAAAAATTACCCAGATGGGCCGAGTGAATTGTCCAGGTTACACACTGAGTATATTACACATCGGTGAAGGGCAAAACATATTGAATTTAAAATGCAACATGAAATGATCCTGGGAAGCATTTGATGGGCTAAGTAAAGTGGAATTATACGCAGTCACTTTCAGATCGATAGAAACATAGCAAACTGCAATATCATGTCAATTGATATTTTTTCCCCCAAATTTTTTTTCTGGAACTGGAAGTAATTGTTAAGATTCGTCTAACGGTGTTATAAATGAATGGTTACGCTTCATAATTAAAATGATTATTAATTATCTGGAAAAAAAAAAATTATGAAGGTACATGTAGGCCTAGTTTTTGCACCAAGAATTGAAATGATTTGCTTGATGAGCAAGTTAGGGTGCAGCTGAGAAGTTTTGTTCAATGGCTTTATAAAAAAAATCAATGTTTTTTTTTTTTTTTTTTACTACAGTTTTATGATTAAATAAAATCTTACCAAGTGAAATGGTGAGATTGACAGAGTTTGGGAACTGTATTCCTTCATACATCGTGTCACTCTGCCACCACGTCATCTTCTTTTCCTTGTGGTAGTCCGTCAGGTAATTGGGTGGGTGGCCGAACCGCTGCGACGCCGAGTCGCAGTACGAGCAGGCCCGTGTGGCTCCCGTCACCCCGGTCTGCCGGCAGTACCGCGTGGACCGGTACAGGCCGCAGGTGTTGGTCGCCTCGGCGTCCAACTCGAAAGCGGCGTTGACAAACTCGGGCTGACAGCGCTGGGCACGGCCATTCTCGTCGTAGCAGGGCACGGCAGATTCCTGGGCGAGGACGGCAGAACACAGGGAAGCTAGCAAGAGGAACACCGGGCGAAGGGTTGTGAAATTTCGCCGGTGAAATGATCCAAATCTCCACCTAAGTTCAGCCATTTTGGACGACCACACTTGCGCGTACCGTATGCACTTGTGCAGAAAAAACTCCCAAAATAGTTTTGCACACTTTGGTTTTGCATGCTCAATAGTCTGGCCCCTTGTTGTCATAATTAACCCTCTACCTTAAAAGGGGTCGGTCACCGCACCGAACTTTATTCAATGCCTCGTTGTTCCGAAGCCTCGGCTTCGTTCCGATATCGGCTTCAAAACAATTTTTAGACCATTGATTTCACACTCAATTTGGATCCAATTTCCGTTTCAGTAAAGTTAATCAGATAAAACAAAGCCAACATTTTTGAGGATTTCCATTTTGTTATGACATAAAATGTTTTGAATTATCTCGGCACCGGATATAAAAATTATGAGCCACACCGGGACGGGGCCGGGGTTTTTAAAATATCCTTATGGGAGGGGGCGCGGGCGCAAGTCCGATGAGTTGTCATCAGGCAGTATACAGGAAATTTCGAAAACCTTTTTGTGTATTCTCTTCAAATTTGATTTAAAAATACAAACACCCAACTAAGTCCCCCTTTTACGTTACAATTCCATTCTCAATCCCAAAGAGAAATGTCGGACCGTTGTGCATTCTGGAGTTGTTTCCACGAAAAAAAACTCTTTCGAGTAGAATAATTTTCTTGAATTTTTATAAAAAAGAACCTATACAGAAAAGAAAACGATAGTTAATTCAAGTTTAAATATGTGTATTTTATTAATGGAAATTTTTTTTTTCTCTTTTTTGGGCGTTTGCAACCCTCTGAATTATTTTTTTTGGGGATTGCTTTGCGCCTCCACTTAAACGCACAAAATACCTAGGAATTATTGTCGGGCCGGGTCGCAAATAAGTCGAAATAGTTTGTGAAGTACTAAACGTGGGCGGATTGTTTTGCTCGATGTCTCATTCAATAGAAAAAAGGACGATTACACATGTATACCTTGAGGTGAAACTCGAAAATTATACTCTGCGTGAGCAACTTTACAGGCATACAAATAGGATCATTTGAAGGGGAAAAAACCCTCAAAACGAAGATGCCAAAATATTACGAAATATCCTATTTGATTGTAAGTAAATTTGGATTGAAGTCTGCAGGGAGAGGGTACTATTATCTATCTACAAGGGTGGAGCCAGAACACAATTTGGAAAGATTCCCATATCTGGCCATCACTTGACACCCTGTGCACAAACCCTATGACTGAACATTTCTAAGTGTTTTCTTAGTAAATACTTCAATATTTTCCCTGCTAAATTTGACTTTTTTAGGACTTATTATCACTTTCTGTGGGCTGATAGGTCACTGAAGGTGACCGATTAGTGATGGCCACATATGGGAATCATTCCCACAATTTTTTTTTGTGGGGCCAAAAATAATTTTAGCCCGCCAAAGAGTGCAGGGTCCAAACAATTACGGTGTGGGGTTCGGGACCCGCTCAATTTAAGGGCCCAAAAAACTTTTGTGTGGATTCTAGATGCTCTGTGATGCGAACAGGTATCTCAATTCATTTGTGCCCTTTTCCATACGCCTTCTCACACATCATTATCGGTGCCAACATCATCAACATTTGCTAATCCAGAACCGTCATGTTTTTCATAGTTTTTGCTTCTTTTGTTGTTTTATTTGGTAGATATGCTAAACTGTAATTGTAATGGTAATCCTGATAACATTTCAACTTTTTTATTTAATGCTTGGATTTAATTAAGTATTTATTGATCTATGTATTGTATGTAAACGAGACAAATTTCCTAAGGACGAAAACAACGAAATTGAAATAGCATCAAACATTTTGTGAAATTGTTTCGCCAGTCAAGAAAAGACGATTATAAATCATTATTTTATATCATTTATCAACAGAAACCTATGCTTTGCGTCGAGAAAAATGCAGATGCACTTATCAGTTTTCTCAAAAAGTGTCCACGGAGTTGTAAGATCCACTGATCGGTTGCGGAAACTTCAACCGGTGACTGATTTTGAGTGGCGTTATTATTGGAAAATAACAAAACGCATGAACTATCAAAATAATTATCATATGCCTTTAAAAGGTAGGATGTTTACAATTTTTGCTGAATGTTTTATAAAAATCAATTTGAACCTTTAATGGCAACACCAACATTTCGACTTTTCTTGCCACGTCCGGCCTTCTGAAAACCAAGTTTTGGTTTCGATGGCAGTTTCTATTGCTCCCAATAACAAGAAATCTACACGAAGGTCATACAAAACCCATGTGGTTTCCTTTTCATCTGTTTATTATTAAGTGCATTTTTACACAGTATTTCCAGTGTGGTCTTAATTACTACCGGAGTAGTAACGGTGTCAGATTCTCATAAATATTTTGGAGTTATTCAAGTTATTCCGCTGTGCTCATAATTTCGAGACTTTATGTTTGGTTAATAATTTGTTAACATCACATTTTCTCATTTTCAAAGGTAATGAAAAACAATGTTTATCCAAGGTATTTTCCTTTTCCTTTCCCCCCCCCCCATTAATACCTCCTCCAAAAAGTCCAAGGAGGTTATGCTTTCATCCAATATATGGTTAGTTTATTGGTTGGTTGGTTTGTCTGTTAACAAGATAACTCAAAAAGTTATGGACGGATTTGCATGAAATTTTTTAAAGGGTGGTCCTTGGTTCAAGTACAAATCGATTAGATTTTGGAAGTGATCCGGATCTGGGTCTGGATCCAGGATTTTTTAAAGGATTCTTCACCATTTATGCGAGTATTTCTTTTCGTTGTACTGACAATATGGCGGGGAATTGTTTAGCCTTGGCGGAGGTTTGCGCTCTGTGAGCATGGGCGTCGCCAGGATTTTTTCTAGAGGGGGGCAAAAATTTTTTTTGCCAAAAAATGCTTGTATTTCTCAACACATTCTCGATTTATCAGTTTTAGAGGGGGGCAGGGACATTTTGCCCCCCCCCCCAACTCATTAAATTTACACCACTTTGTCTTCGCGCCTCTTTTTTTTTTCTTTTTTTTTCTTTTTTTTCTTCCTTTTTTTTTTTTTTTTTTTTTTTGCTTTTCCAGGGGGGGGGGGGCAAGTGCCCCCCCTTGCCCCCCCCCTCGCGACGCCCATGTCTGTGAGTGCTTTCTAGTTTATTTAATACGCTTTGGAAGCTACAAGGAAATGGAGAACAAGTACAACAATAATATGAACTTTAAAATACTGTTTAAAAACTGCACACAATAAAGGAATCATACATTCTTTGTAAATTTCACAACCGTTTTTTTTTCAACGCAAAACTGTCAGGAACACAATTATGAACAAATCTTTCACTTTCCACAAAATTAAAACTGCTACAAGAAACAAATACTCAATTACAAATGCGTGCAGTTCATGTAAAAGTGATGGCAAAAGAATCTTTTATTTTTGCTGGAAACCGATTGTAAATAAAATGCGGACTAACTAAATTTGGAGAATTGGGGGCAGTATTAACAAAAAGTCCGTTTTTTCCCAAAGGATGGTCAGCCGACCATCGTTGGAAATTGATACAATTTTTTCTTACAAATGGCAGCACGCCAGGTGCCATGATTTCACATGATGCTTGAGACTATTCAGTAACAGTCCACGGAGTCCAGTAACTAAGGTATTTCATCTTAATAATTTGTTACTTTTCTTTTTTGATGTTTGCAAATGTTGTATGTTGCCTATGACAAAGAAGTTGAAATGATCCAGTCAGATTTGTGCTGTAATATTGTACCACAGTCAATTGGAGCATAAACTCCAATTAGTGCAAGCTTTTTGCACGTACTATTATAGTTTTCAGCTATGACACTTTCTACCAACAATCAGCTTTGAAAAAAGAAAGCGTACAATGTAATATATAATACATGGAGCTACCTCCTCTACCCTATTAATCCATTTTTCCATCATGTTCCCTGAATCTTTTTCATAAATTAAAAACTTTTGAACGGGATATACAGGGCGAGTCAAAAAAAGCGGAACCCAAACCCCAAAAATTATATTTCATATTTAAAGAAATATGTAGCACCAAAAATAGTAATGACTGAAAAGCCAATTTCATAAGGTACTTTTAGATGAAAATATGACTGAAATTGGTCAATCCGTTCAGAAAATATCACCATTTAAACAGAATGACCCTAAAACCTGTCTCGTCCAAAAAATGCGATTTCAAGAATCGTCGTCGCAATCGTCTTCAAACATCACCAGCGATACAATCTCTGTTTAAACGTTAAAAATGTTCAACAGAATCCCTTTGAAAGCCTGTCCTTTAGAAAAAGTAGATTTTATAAATCATATTGTTTGCCTAACCAGGGTTGTTAAAACAGATACTGTGTACTACAGTTGGTGACAGTTGTTGGAACAAGCATTCTGTGTAATTTTCTGTTTGTTCCAAACAGTCAAAACACACAATGAATTGCTTTTTTGGACGAGACAGGTTTTAGGGTCATGGTGTTTAAATGGTGATATTCTTTGAACGGATTAAGCAATTTCAGTAATTTTTTCATCTAAAAGTAGCTTATGAAATTGGCTTTCCAGTCGTTATTATTTTGGGTGCTACATATTTTTTTCAATATGAAATATATTTTATGGGATTTGGGTTCCGCTTTTTTTGACTCACCCTGTATGATTGGAGTGCGTTGCAAGCCTAACTTTCAATTCTTTTTTAAATGTGGCTCAAAACATTAGGGTATGTTTAAACACAAGTTTGAAATTATAAATCAGAGCCGACTAGCATTATTTTGTAATAAGTTTATTTCTTTGCTTTCATTTCTACTCGCAAGTTCCAAAAATGAAGAGTTTACCTCGTTTTCAATTTAATATGGCCGACTCGTGAATAATTTTTTTTTTTCAGTCAAGGCTCATTGCTGAAATGGGCACAAATATTCTTTTAATTTATCACTTCTTTTTCTGTGCACTTGCGCTTATGCTTGGTGAACTTGCAATACTTTAAAATTGTGAAGATTTAAAATAAAAAGTATTAAACTACATGTAGTACGGTTCTGTGCGCTGTTTTCCAGCAACTTGTTCCTTGGTTCTACATACTTTCTTTCTATTATATTAAAAATCAAACACGTGTGACTTATTCAGGGGTGAGATTGGAAAAAATAATAAAATCCATGAAATAATCGACAGAGGGTTTTGGGGTTGCCAAGTGCCCCATAGCAAGGTAGGGTCTATGGTATATGTTTGTATTTGCTTAAAGGCATCCCTTAAAATACGCATTTCATTTGTTCTATAGCATTTATAGGTACTAACGCCAAAAACCTCAGGAAATCCATATTTCAAAAGGGATTCTGTAAAAATCCATAAATCACGAAAAATCACAAAAAATTCTGACAAATTCCACCGCTGCTCATTGACAACAAGCCTTTTTGCCGTATACTCTCTTTCGTTTTCATAAACGGCCCTTGTGCTATTTTACCCCGTTTACTTTTTACTTTTTTCTGATCATACGAAAATTACATGTATCTATCTGCATTCAAACGAAAGATGGACAAAACTTTCCTAGCGAGTCTCACAACTATGTTTTTTTTTCATAATTTTTCAACTCTTGACTTTATGGAGTACCGAAGTGAGACGTCATTTAAAACCAAAAAGTGTAGTGCAAACGAATGGAGTACGCGCGCATGTTGGTTCACGGGCTGAATCACGCGCTAAATGTCTTTCACACACATTTTGTGCGCGTGACGTATTCAATTCGGTACTCCATTTGATCTCTTCCAGTAGTTTGGATTGTCTTTACCACCCACCTCTGCTGCCTCGGAACCCACCCCCACCTCTTCCCCTTCCACCCTGGAAGCCTCCGAACCCACGGAACCCACTGTTGCCTCCCCGGAATCCACGACCTCCACCTCCGCCAAAGTTGCCACCACCACCACCGCCAAAGTTGCCCTCACCACTCCCAAAGTTTCCCCCTCTACCACCGCCAAAGTTTCCCCCACCACCCCGAGAGTTCCCTCCTCCCCCGTATCCCCCACCCCCTCTAGCCCCTCTGAAGCCACCGCCTCTGAACCCCCTGTCGCCTCTGAATCCCCTGTCGCCTCCTCGGCCGCCAGCGTAGCCAGGGGGGTTGGAGAACCGGAACCGTGATGGACCTGCTGGACCTCTGCCTTGTCTGCAGGAGAAATGAAAAACAAATTAAAGGCTGATCATTATTATCAACTGACCTTTATTAAGGGATTAAATGCATGCTTGGCCGGTTTTAAACACTATGTTTAAGACTGGTTGGAGTCTGGATGCTGATAGTGACCTGACCTTTATTATAAGGGAATACATGTGTGCTTGGCCAGTTTTAAACACTATGTTTAAGACCGGTTGGAGTCTGGATGCTGATAGTAACCTGACCTTTATTATAAGGGAATAAATGTGTGCTTGGCCAGTTTTAAACACTATGTTTAAGACTGGTTGGAGTCTGGATGCTGATAATGACCTTAGCTGAAGGCGAGGATCATTATCAGCATCCAGACTCCAACCCGTCTTAACATATAGAGTTTAATACCGGCCAAGTACATATTTATTCCCATTCATAAATACCTATTCGGTAAAAAAAGTCAAAACTTTTTGGTCCAAAGTCAAAACAAGTCAAATGTTATAAATTTCTAACGATTTTGTTTTGAAAGTACAGTTGCAGTGCTCCTGTGCCCAAGTCCTTCATTGTGTGATTTACGTAACAGTTATTACCTAAAACTTTCTTTGAATAATCTGAAGCCTTCTTTTTAGAATCTTTCTTAGAAAGAGGCACATTATTATTCATGGGGGTTGCCATTGAAATGTTTAACCAGTGCGCGTAGGAGGACGAGATAACACGCACTGGCTGTTTTTATACACAGGCACGGCTGGCGGGTTTTAAGACGTCAAGATTGCCTCAACTCGCCTCCGGGTGACGTCTAAACACGCTAACCCCTCATGTCTTTTGTACACACCCACAATGTCCGTGAAGTCTGTTGAGGCAGGCCGTGTGTTGATCTTGAATTGGCTGTTGTGAACGGCCTATTGTTGTACAATTTAAATCCAAGCGCACACCCCAGAGTATTGAAACATATGAAGTTTTGCCAAGAAAGATCATACAAATACTGTTGAAATGGCCCTTGCGAGTCAGTATTTGTGGTGGTTTGCTGTATACCAGAAGTTGGCTCGGAAATTTTGCCTTTTGCAAAAAATCCACATTTTCGGCAAAAAGAATTCCGGCGCGAAGTGGTTAAAAGAAAATGCTTTCATAAAGATCATGGAAAACTTAGGCTTGTGAAAGCAGTTTGGGAGAAGAAAATTGAATTTGTTGACGAGAACGCAGGGAGGAACTATACAAAATAAATGACTTGAAAACAAAACTTACCCCTGGTCTCCGGAATCCTCTTGGGAGTTTCCGAAGAAGCCAGCCCTTGGGGAGGACAACTCCCGAATGACGTTGAGCAGAGTTTCGTCCGGGGGTGAAGGGGACATGATGCTGTCTGGATTAGCCGTCATGTTGAAGATCAGGGCTTCGACAGCCGGCCGCAGGGCTGTGATCTTGGCCGCTGAGGCATGGGGCATTCGGAGCTGAATCCTGATATCGGACAGGGAAAAATGTCCATTTGTTTCTCCACTTTTATGCATGTGCCTTTTTTGGTCGTGAAATAGTTGTGTATATGGTGCAATAAACCCGTCTGTTATTGGCAATGCATTCTGTGAACGGATGTCAAACAAAGTAGTTTGTGTACTTGTGATACACGTCACCACAATACATTTGTTCTTGTAATTTTTGACTTTGGATAATCACAAATATTCAAGAATTTGTATCAGCTGTTGCTGTTTATAACAGCTTCTAGAAGCATTTGAACCAAAATGAAACTGTTGATTGAGGCCGAACTTTAATTAAATTAAGATAACTGTTTGCATGATACAAACAATGATAATCTACATACTTATTGCTTTGAGTGAATTGCCAAAATCTACGTTTTTTCTCTGATTAACAGATTTTAATAGTTCTCAACAATTCATAATTCATAATTCATAAGGACAAGGCAAGCCTTGTAAAGTTGGTCCCAGAGTGCATGAAATTCTACTCAACTGATTCAAAATGGCTATTCACTGGAAGTCTTTCCATACATCTGGCGTACACAATAGGCCAGATTTAGCACAATACACAGTAATCCTATATGACAGCACTGCCCAGCTCTCTTTAAAAAAACAAGGCTAAGTCAGTAATGACAGTCAGCTGGTGAGTCGGTCAGTCAGTCCATCACAAAGAGGGCCCTAGGTTGGCCCTCTGGGCTCGGCAAAAAAAGGCTTGTATTGGAAGACATTTTTGTGAGACTTAGTTTGCCTTTATACATACCAGTCGTCCAGCATGATTAAGCCGTTGCATGATTCAATGGACCGTGCACCAAATAGCAGAAGCTGTAGTGGAGACACCATGGTCATTCCCTTGGCTGATACCGCACGGGTCCGGATCTGTCAAAAAGCAACATTTTTGATTAGACTTTACATAAGCATTTGGGTTTTTTGTGGAAAACTTAACGCATGAACCTGATTATGAGCTTTTGTTTTACCTACTGGTATCTATGCTGTACATTTGATCAAAACAAATTCTAAGTACCAACCTATAAGGTTTAAGATTAAAACTGCATGAAAGTTACTTATAGTTTATGTAACATAATTTCCTTTATTGTTAACAATGAAGGTTAATTTGAATTTATAATTGAGCAGCGTAGACAGTGACAATGACCAACGTTTTAAAAACCAAAACCGAAAAATGTCTGCCAAGTAAATCTAATGACAAAATATAAGTATTGCAAATGTCCAGTTTCGAACTGAGATGGTGGTTTGTGGTTAGAGAACGTCAAATTTATTTTTAACTTTTTTTCTTGGCATAGTTTGAGACTTTTTGACTAGGTTTAGTGCCATGAACCTTTTCAGTGAAGACGAAAAACGGCGAAGGGAACGTCTGCTCAAACTTGCTGAAGTTGACCGAGGACTTGTGGATCAGCGCCGACTTGTTCTCCGTGGTCAGCAACTTGCGCTTCTCCTTGTGGTAGCAGGTGTTGGGAGACAGGCCCATAGCCAGGAGGCTGACTATCACCTCCAGCTTGACGTCCTGCCCGCCAAAGTTGAAGAACTCCAGCTCCATGCACTCTGCAAGTTTCAAGTGGGAGTTTTTTTTAATCTTCCTAGTCTTTTGGGCACTTAAAAACCCTTTAGATTTTGCCTTTAGAAACATGTTTGCCAATAGGTCTCTCTCAAAGATGGCCATCTCTGTAGGAGAACTGCAACTGCGAATTTCGCGCAATCAAGCACGTGTTGAAAATGTGCCAAACACGCGCGCTTGTTGCTCGAAATGTGTTCGAAATACAACGCAGCCGACGTGCGTTATGCAAGTTGACGCTCAAAATGCCGATGCACGTGCGCTATTAAGGTGGTAGGAATTTGGATATTTTGCTGAAGTAAGTAATGTATTCTTTTCTTTGGTGATTTGTTATGTCAATACATGACAGTAAGCCAATGAGCAACCCTTTCTCACCAATGTTTGCAATGAGCAAATTTTGGGTTCACAATGTGAAAAGCAAACCCCTAAACTGAACAGTGTCTTCCTGAAATGACATCACAGCTGTAATTACCTCAGTTGTCCTGAAAAGCATGGACATTTTTAAACGTTTAAAGAAGTGCACTTTTCAATAAAATTTACCGAAAAGGGATGTCAAATAGTTTTTGTACATTTAAGAGGAGTAGAAAGTTGCATGAAATGTGTTCCTGAGAAAAATTCATTGCATGGACCCTTTAACCCTAACTCCCTAGTGTCTTTTACTAGGAACTGGACCAAGTCCATCAAAATCCATCAATCACTGTGCGTCGAATACAAAACTGTACATGACATAATGGAATCCACCACTGACGCACTGGTTGACATTCATGGACTTGCTTCATGTGGCTTTTATCAGAATAGCAGTACAGAAAGCTAGGTAAAATCAATCGGATACCCCTAGCACTGCTTCAGGCCATTAGGCCCAAGTCGATCATATACTCCATCAATGTTTAGTCATGCCAGGCCTTCTGGACCAAGTCCCCAAAATCCACCAAAATGGGGGATGGATTTTGATGGAGTTGGGGTGGTTAAGGTTAATATTGCTAGTACACATGAAGGATGCTATCCTTTTCATCATCCCACTACTACCATAATATGTCACACCTAAATTACGTGTGGTACACGTGAATTACTTGGGTGAAGCACATGACAGTAAGAACAACTTCATTAAATTTACATGTATGCATATGTATACCCACTGCAGCTGCAACCAAACATTGAATACTAAAATCTGCAGAAATTACTCACGTTCTGGAAAACCTTCCATAACCAGGATATCCTTCAGTTGATTCTGAAGGAATAAGAAACAGAAAAAAGTATCAAGATATGTTGATTTTTAGTTGCGGACTGGGGAAACTACCAGTTAGTTGCGGACTGGAGAAAACTGGAGCGCTGTGGTCCAATGGTTACGGTGTTTGGCTCACGTGCCGTGGTGTGTGGGTTGGAACCCTGAGGGGGAACGTGGTGCTTGTGTTCTTGGGCAAGGCACTTTACTACAATTGCCTCTCTCCACCCAGGAGTATAAATGGGTACCTGTGAGGGTAGAGACCAGAATGCGCTAATCTCGAGCTGCTGCAAAAACTGGTCTCATGGCCTGATGAACAGGGGTAATAATTGTGATATAAAGCGCTACATAAGCACCATATTATTATTATTATTACTATTATTATTAGTTTTCAAACCACTTTTCTTCCCCAAAACCTTGCTCAAATGCAGAAAATACACAAATGTATGTGCACTTTCCCTACCATTAAGTTCATTCTAAATGTCCACATTTTTATGTGAGTGCAAGGTGTTACGGCGGCAGTGGATTTTAGTCCCTCCTGGCCTTGCAACCGAGTGAGGGGTGCTTTTGCGAAGAGTCTGTAGGAAGCCACACTGTCTTTGAAATAGCCCTTCACAACAAATATTTAGGTTTATATTCAGATTTGAAACAAGAAATTAGAAGTCTCACCCTAGCTTCATAGATCATGCGCAGGGATGTCATCTGTAGCTGCTTGCGGTCACAGTAATTCATAGCACCGTCCTCACCACCATTGGACCTGAAATGAAAACATCAAGAATATTACAAATACGTTCGAAAAAATTACTGTGTTACGCTGGTTTTGGACTGGCGTTAAGGCCGGTTCATACTTCATGTGATGAACTTGTGGACATGTGATGGACATGTGATGGCATGTGATGGGCATGTGATGGACGTGATGGACTTGTGATGGACATGTGATGGACATCATTTGAGGGAAGTCAGGTTGGCGCAGAGGGAATTTCCTCGCCTTCCACTGCTGTGACCCGGGTTCGAATCCCGCCTGGGCCAATATGTGGATTGGGTTTTCAGTCCCTGCCTGATTCCGTGGGTTTTCCCCAGAATATTCTTCTGGGCTTTTCCTTCAACCTCTTAACCTGCAATTTCTTCTCATTGTCTTCTCTCTACAGGTTTCTTCAGGCTTGCGAGCTACAGTGCCTAGGACGCTTTTGAGGAATCCTTGGTTTCATTACCAAAAAGGATTAATAATAATGATAATAATAAAGTTATGGACATGTGATTGACTTGTATTGGACATGTGATGGACATGTGATGGACTTGTGTTGGACATGTGTTGGACATGTGATGGACTTGTGATGGACTTCTGATGGATATGTGATGGACATGTGATGGACATCTGATGGACATGCGATGGACTTGTGAGGGATTGTGATGGACATGTGATGGGCATATGATGGACATGTGATGGACTTGTGATCGACATGTGATGGACATCTGATGGGCATGTGATGGGCATGTGATGGGCATGTGATGGACTTGTGATGGATTTGTGATGGACTTTTGATGGACTTGTGATGGACACGTGATGGACATGTGATGGACTTGTGAGGGATTGTGATGAACATGTGATGGGCATATGATGGACATGTGATGGACTTCTGATCGACATGTGATGGACATCTGATGGGCATGTGATGGGCATGTGATGGACATGTGATGGACATGTGATGAACTTGTGATGGACATGTGATGGACCTGTGTTGGACTTGATTACAACACTGGTTGATACTCACAATGCCTGTTCCCATTCCTGGAAGCAGCCCAGTACAGCGATATGGTCGCTGTGACGGATGCCGCAGTAAGACTTGTGCAAGTTGGTGACTTTGCCCATGTGGGTGACGAAGGGCTCCGAGAACACGGTGCTGGCTGCTATGATACACATGGCATCTCCCACACTAAAATAGATTTGAAAAAAAAAAAAAATTGAAATAACTTTTTATTTATTTATCTTTATATTTTTTTTTAATTACTTTTCTTGGGTTTAAAATGCAAGTTCCTGGAGTACCCCAGTCCCTGACAATGATGCAGACCTACTTAATACACATACATGTATGTTCTGGGTTCAAGTACCTGGTATTCCATTTGCACCTCTGGACAGGATGATGTGACTGTTTTTCGCTTAGAACATAGAAGCACACAAGTATGTGGGGGGTGGTGGGTGGGGAGGGTGGTGGGGATTGGGGGGGGGGGAGGGGGTGGAGGGTGGGGCGGGGGGGGGGGGGGGGGGGACAGGGAAGTGGTAACCGAATCTGCAATCTGCAACTTTTAAGCAATCACAAATCATAAAAAAAAAAAATTTGGCACAAATGTTTGAGCCTACAAAACACTTAGAACAAGGTGCTGCACAAAGCTTCAGAAATTTGCCTTTCAACAGCGAATTGTCCATTTCAAAAGGAAAACGTGAGGCGTTCTGGCTATCCGATCCGTTCCGAAGTACCCCCTCACCGGCAAAGTAAGTACAGTTGGGGGAGACCGACCGACGCCATCTTGCCTGACTGCAATTATTTTGTAGTAGTACAGACTTCCCCTGGTGTACGTGCGTCACACACAAGGAACGGTGCGCGTCAACCAGGGAAATGTCCCGCCCATGGGATGTAGTTGCTAGGTAAAAGGGCGCCCTCTTTTGTTAGCGCATGGAGCCCATATGACTCGTTCGCTCAGTAAACTACTTACAAGAGTGAGCATCCCAGGATGATCATCTTGCCCAGCTTGGGTTCTATGGGCATCTTGGCCAGGATCTTCCCTAGGGGTGTTAGCTCCTCCTGCTGGTCCAACGCATGCATATCTGCAAGTGAATGGCGACACATCAATTGCCTCGTCAAAACTAAGTATGGGATGTACATGCAACAAGGCTCAAAATGTCCACCAGAATGCTGGACAGAGTCCAGTGATTTAAATGTAATACAGTGGAACACCGCTATAACGAACTTCATGGGATCCTCAGAAAGTGTTCGTAATAACGATCGTTCGGTATAGTGATTTTGTACCGCTGGTACCCTCTTTTGACCAATAGTGAACGGGCATTTCTCACATTCCGCGACCGCATGAGGAGTCGTCAGGAGACTTTAGCAATGGGTGGTTTTCCCTTCTATTCCTTGGGGAAATAATAGCCATCTATCGCTCTTCAACATTTAAACACAATGTAACTATGGGTCGTTGATGTTTGGGAATTAAAAGTGGCCCAAATAGTGTTAATGCACGTACAACCGGTAGTTTTTTTGTTAATCTGTTGACTTTTTTCAACAACAACGTTCGGTAAGTTTTGAACATTAAAACCGAGAGCCAAGGATGATGTTCGGTATAGCCGAATGTTCGGTATAGCGGTGTTCGGTATAGCGGCGTTCCGCAGAAGCATCATTTGCTCTTTTGTTCGAAGCAACGAAATTGCTCAAAATCTTAAGTAGGGTGCTTAACAACTGAACCTTTCAGTCACTGTAGCACCTGACACCACCCTGCCTATTACTACCTGTAGTGCCCGAAACCAACCAAGCACTCTATGGTTTTATCGATTTCTCAGTGAGTAAATACAATGTAATACAATGAAGTCCAGGTGGTAATGGGTTAACCATTGAAGTTTTAGCTATTTGGCTACTCTACATTATGAGAAAACAGAGAAAACATTTACACCATTTTTAGGGTTCAGTTCATTTTTTTAAAAACCACCTTCCAGTATTGTTTTCTTCCAAATGATACCGTTTCAGGCAAAATAATTTAACAGGGTATTTGATACCAGTCCTACCGTCACTTTGAGTCTTAAGAAGGGGCGGGGCGTGGGAGGGGGAGGGGCTTGGAAGAAGAGGGGGCTAGGGAGTTTGTCATACCTTTCAAGGCAGCTACAGCTTCCACGACCGAGTCCAGTGGTGGCGGCTCGATAGCCTTGCCCAGAAAGTCTGCGATTTTACCCAGACGCAGCAGTTTGATGGTCAAGGCCAGCTCGTGCAGAGGGGTACGAAAGATCTCTGGTGTCGTATAATCCTCAAGTCTGGTGGGAAAAAAAAGATTCACAAAATAAGCGTGTGCCAAGGCTTCATGGTTTCAAGTACTGAACTCAAGGTCTGTAGGTTGTGGGTTCGAGTCCAGCCTAGAGTTGTGGTGCTGTGCCCTTGGTCAAGGCACTTTGTCACTCATTGCTTCGCCCCACCTAGGAGTAAATGGGTGCCTGTGAGGGCAGAGCTGGTTATTGTGGTTGATTTGAGCTGCTTTGCACCAAAATGGGAGCATCGCGAGCTGTATACTCCCCAGGGAGCTGAGATGGTCTTTGAAATATTATATGAGCCAAACGGAATGGGGTAATACTGATGTAAGATCCTTGAGCATTGTTGCATACATGGTCTTTATAAAAAGAAATTGTTAAAGTGCATTAGCTTTCTCACTTTTTATAAAGAAAACTTAATAACAACTTTAGGGATGACAGCATGAATGGCTAATTTTTTTTTTGTTTTTTTTTGCAGATTGCAGGTTAGAATTGCACTTCAGTCCATTTTCTTTACTGAAGTATATGTATGGTTCCAGATACTAGAGCATACAAAATTCTATTAACAACCCTTCGCGCAGCGAGCGGACGATAAAATTCTCCACATTTTCCAAATATGGGCATAATTTTGTTTTCAATGGGCCAATTAGGCCAAGCTTCCATGTAATCCTCACCCCTACTATACACCACAAGCCTGTAGACTCCCATTGGCCAGACCCTAGCCACTCTGGAGTAAGGAGTGTTGAAAGACAGAAGCCAAGATGGCGCCTAATGCCTTTTTGCAGTAATGGGAGATCTTAGTGGCCAACCCCTAAGTGCCGCCGATCTCTTTGTGTCAACCCCTCGTGCCGCCCAGAGCTCAGACAGGTTGTAAACAATCCCTGGCCATGTGAATGACCTATATCTTGTGCATGTGCAGGCATGCCAGGGTTAGTGACCTATAAACACATGTGGTGATAAAATTCTCCACGTGGCCATTCCGCGTAAAGTTTTTGGGCTTGATCCACGAAGGGTTAAGTTGATTCAGAGTGGCTGAAAAGTTTGTAGAATAAGCTGAAGTGGAGACTAGACCAATTTTTCCCTACATGTGTGTTATGAGAGTACAAAGTGACTTGAGACTCGTACTCGTCTCAAGTGACTCTAACTACAACACCGACCAATCAGTCAATGTGGTACACAGAGGTCACAAGTCTGGCCTTCTCGGACCAGCTAAAACTTAGGTTTATTCACTTTTCAAAGCGTGCCCTGCTGCAGAGGTGGAAGGCAAACCCCGGCCGCACACGGCCAGCCCGCCCACGTCGTTGCTCCAGGTTGGTCTTGGAGGCCCAAATGGTGGCATAGTTGGTCATGTTGTTGTGGGACGTGAAGAGTTTGGTCTTGGCTCTGATAACAAACACAAATTTAATAAAATTAAATAAAGTCAACTCAATTCAACAGCAAGAAACACTGATTTTCTCAAACTGCAACTTATTTCAGTGAAATCAGTTCACAATAACATGATCTTACGAATCTTAAAATTTGGGTTTTTTTGAGACAATAATTATATTTCTTATGGAACGCAAACAACGATGGCATGCCAATTCATAGAAATGGCCCCGAACATGGATAGCAATATTATAAGTTATCCCGCGAGCGCGAGTGGAACACAGAATAATGTAGGGCGTCTGGTCCCACATACCACGAGGCCAAAGGCCGAGTGGTATGTGGGACACAGACGCACTACATTTTCCGTGTTCCACGAGCGCGAGTGTGATAATGAAGTTATCTTCAAGCAAACTTGACGTACAGTAAAGATTGAACACGCACACTGTACACAAACTTTTCAGCGGTTATCTTATTACATGTGCGTTTGTATGGAATGGCGCGCGCATCTTTGAAATGCGCAATACGCTGAGTGCAGTACGGACCAAGGCCGTGCTACATGGTTATATGTAGCACGGCTTGTTGCCATGGAACGCCTATCAGGATTGAGGATTCAAAGTTACTTGAAGATAAAACGTATAGTGATCAAATAAACGCTGTAGGAACTTTTTAACTACATTGTATCGGTCTGGTTTTTTTTTTTAACTGAAAATGTATTCATAAATGGGAATAATAGTGCGATTGAGCAGTTATTATCAGCGATTAGCCCCTTAAACTCGCTTTCCATAAGCAGGAATGTAAGTTGACTCTGACATTTTTACCTAAAAATAATTTGAGACACACAAGAAAAGTATACACACAAGAATAGTGCCAACATGTTATCAACAATTTGAAAAAGCCTGAATTCACAGGATGTACATCCCTGAGCAGTGCAACTCAACACAATAAACATCCAGTTCCACCTTTTTTTTTTAACATCCATGGTCCAACGGTCGTACTCTAAATGTCATACATTTGAGCTATTTTCTGTCTATCAAATTTTGGTTGAGCTTGCTGACATGTCCTGCGGCAAAGGCCAGCTAGACTCACTTTAAGGATTTCATTACACAAAGATGCGGTTCTTGTCAGAGGAATGGTGTTTGGCTACAATTTTCAGGGTCAATGGTTCTATGGTTACTTTAAAGGGGCACTCACAATGTCATTAAGCTTTGTTTGAATGAGGAACTTGTGAAATATGAATTTTACGAACAAAGAGAGACTTACTTGCAGATGTCAATCACATACACCACGTCGTTGATGGTGATGCTAGTCTCAGCAATGTTGGTTGACAGAATGATCTGAAAGAACCACACATACAAAAATTGTCAAACAAAACAGTTGACAATTGACCACTTTTTATGACTTTTTGTGTTATATGATCTTTTTATGAATAAACCACCTCACTTTTTGAATGAGACATCAAATGAAAAACTTGGTGTACATCTAGTCATGGAGTAATTACTATGCACATTTTTAATTATTAGCAGTCAGACAATAATTCCTTCCTTCCAGGGTAGAATGGTTCCAATCCCCCTATCTGAATCGATAACTTAGGCACCAGGAATCAGTTTACTTGCACAGTGGATTTGTTAATGCACAAAATCAACACAGAACATAGGGCTTTGCTGCATTTCGTTTGTGTGGAATCATGTGAACAATAAATTTTATGTACCAACATAGTTCCAAGACAAAGCAGAACCTTATAATTTTTTTTATGAAAATGCATTTTTATGCAACATTATGCACATGAACATGACCTACCAAACATAATACAAAAAGACTTTTGAATGAAGTGGGTTTTTTTTGGCTAGATAAAGTAAAAAGATTGTTTTATAAGTTTTTGGAAAAACTTGAAATTCCAAAATCCATATAGTTTTTTAATTAAAAAAAGAAAAGAAAGTGGAAAAGTTTTTTTGGCTAGATAAAGTAAAAAGATTGTTTTATAAGTTTTTGGAAAAACTTGAAATTCCAAAATCCATATAGTTTTTTAATTAAAAAAAGAAAAGAAAGTGGAAAAGTTGTTGGGGAAAAATGTCTTTGTTGAATAGCATGGACATTACATCTTTAAGATGACACTGAGTATGGGTACCTTTGTTACTCCCTCTGGAACTGATTCAAAGACTCGGTGCTGGTCTTCCCGGGGAATCTGTGAATGCAACGGCAGGATCAGGTAGCCACGGTTGCCTGCAAATTAAAAAAAAATCATACCAAAATCATCATGTGTATTTTGCCCAATGCAACAACATGCAACACTTGTCAGAATTCCATGCACTTTATTAAAAACAAAATTCCCTGACTTTTCCCAGAAATCTCCCTGAGAAATTTCTAAAGTTCCATGAGAAATATATCTGATAACACACAGCGTCGCGTCAGTGCAACAAGGTCGTAACTCCATTCTACAACAAAGTCGTATCTCGCGCGAATACGGTTCATGCAACAAGGTCTTATCTCGACGTCCATTGACTGTGTGTGTACATCCGGGTTATTTTAAGTGGGATATGACCTTTTGACATTCTGAAACTCGTGTTTTATGTACGGCCCATTTTAAGAGATACATACGACCTTGTTGCACGGACACAACAATAGTATCTGATACTGATAACACACAGGCAAATTGTTGTCAAGCGATGGTCTCCCTTCTCCCCCTTTAGCCATCCTTTCCTCACCAAATTCCTTGAGTTTTCCGTGATTTTGTTGGTGTTTTCCCTGAATTTGCTGAGTTTTCCCTGGTAAAAATGGAAACTGCAAAGCCTGCCCCGTGCAACAAGATGCAGCAGATCAAAAATCTCAAGACCAAACTGCCTCAGAGCAGCAGGATGCAACTGTGGCACTGTTCAATGGGACTAGCTCCCATTGTGTCAAAGTCAATTGTTAATGAATCAAATCCAGTCTTGGGAATTTCGGCAGTGCTACCCAAGAAATTCCAAGCATGCATGTACCTCACGCCCTCACATTCGCATGGATACAGTGCGGACCTATCTAAGTGGCTGGACCTACCAAATTTGGGGTGTTCTTGTAGGTGCCTCATGAGGGCAAAGATCCAGTTCCAACCAGGCAGGAATACCAGAACGGCACCGTGCACGTTGAGGTTGTTGATGTAGGTCAATAATGCCTAAGAAATAAAAAAAAAACAGAAATAGATGACCTGAATGTCTGTCTCTTTATAAAAACACAACACAGTTATAGATGTTGAAATGTCACTGGCTGAACATCAATCATGTGACATATTTCGAAAACTGACGAGTAGATTGCAAAAAAAGTCTAGAATGTTCCATTTCTGAAGGAAAAACATGATGCTTGTGTTCTTGGGCAAGTCACTTTACTACAATAGCTTCTCTCCACCCTGGAGTATAAATGGGTACCTGTGAGGGTAGAGACCAGATTGCAATGATCTCGAGCTGCTGCAGAAGAACGGTCTCATGACTTGAACTGTAAAGCACTTTGAGACTTTGGTACAAAGCGCTGTAGAAGCAACACACGTTAGTATACATGTAAGTATTGTATGTTTACATCTTGAATGTCAAAAAGATATCGAGTCCGCTCGTTTCTTACCTCGATGAGTTCAAAGCTCATCTCCTTCTCACTCATCTGTGCCATGGCGTTGCGGGTGCGCTCCGAGTACTGATTAGAAACCTGCTTGTTCATGTTCTCCTGGGTAAATAGTAATAACAGGTTGATAAGCTTAAAGATCGCATGAAAGGGAAAGCTCGCCTGCTAATTCGCTAGCTGTACTGTTCTCCTGGGAAAATAGTAATAACAGGTTGACAAGCTTAAAGATCACATGAAAGGGAAAGCTCTGAGTAGATCCTCAACTATAAGTAGAGGCTCAGTTTCAAGTTTTCGCAAGACCTGCCCAGGACCAGCTTGCGTCATAGATAAGCCAGTGAACATCACCAAACTTGACCAAAGTATGTGTTGGCACCTAATGTACATTTGCTGGTTTGCCGTAAGCAATGCCAAACAAGTGATTTTGGCATTCCGTGTAAATTAGCCTTGGTCAAGGCGTTCGTCACTTGCCATCTGCACGGTAACCGGCGTCCAAAATTTATTCTCACTGCCCGCTAACTCACTAGCTGTACTGTGTGTGTACATACGTGTGTACGTGTTCTACATAACCCGAGGACAGACAACACAAAGGGAGAACAACAGATCCTTTCAGTCCTCGGGAGTTGGGTCTTTTGTTGGAAACGGTCCTCTGTAGTAAGTTTGTGTGCTTAGACTATGGGAGAGTGTTATATTACAGGGACAAAGGGAAACACAAAGCATTGTCCTCGAGAGTATAGTAAAAACAAGAGTGCGTGTACAGTGCAAAAATGGCCAAGTTCGCGCAAGGACTATAGTTGACCAATGGTTAACTAACGTTTGCCCGAACTCTGTCTAGTCGAAGGTGGTTGACTACGCTAGTCGACTATTTGGAACCAACCTACTGGGGCTGGTTGCATCGCTGGTAACCAGTAGCCGTGCGCATTCATAACGCTAGCAGAGAGCAAGGATCCAGAAGTTTTGCGATGACATTTTGACCAGCGTTTGACTAGAGATGTTCGCACGTTGCCATCAGTGCGCAGGCGTAAGGTACGTCACAAATCAACCACTAGTCGACTAATGGTCCCTGCCCGAACTTGGCCAATACAGCGCGAACAGTTAACTCATGCAGGCCCTATGTATATGCAAATCAACTAGACCTGGACAAACGCCTTGTACGGTATTTTGTAAACCGCGCGCCTAAGGCTGTGTCTGAACGGCTCGGCTATGGCTAGATGTAACACACATGTTTATGGGAAGTAACTTCAGCCGCTTCCATACACACATGTATTCGTAAGCCATAGTCACCTATTTTGTACACCGCCTTTGGCTGTGTCTGAATGACTTGGCTATGGCTCACCATAACACATGCGTCTATGGGAAGTGGCTTAAACTGCTTCCATACAGCATGTGTATTTGTAAGCCATAGCTGTAGACACTGACTTACACTGAATTCATCATCAGCCTCTTCTTCGTCATCATCATCCCTGCTCTTGTTCTTACTCTTTCTGGTGTTCGCCGAGGGAACAAAGTTCAGCATCTGAACAATATCCTCCAGGTAGTACTCTTAAAAGGAAGAAAAAAGACCAATCATTAAAATTGTGTTACGGCGCTAACATGTCAAGACTATGTATTCGTGCGGAAAGTAAGTAAAGTCATGAGCCAATAGGTCTCTCTAAAATGACGTCATTTCCTACAGACCAGCCACGTGGATCATCAATTTGAGCATCAACACATTTCGAGCTGTAGGGGAAGGGGTTTGGAACATTTTCAACACTGCGCAATGCGTGCTTGATTGCGTAATATGCAGCTGCAGTTCTCCTACAGAGATGGCCATCTTTGAGAGAGACCTGTATAGCCCATCAGGCGCATTTATTTCCAGTTTCCTTGACATGAAACGACAGAGAAAATTTCTATTCCCCCTGGATGGGATGCTAGTCCATCGCAGGGTACTCCCCAGCTAATGCCGGTACTCATTTATACTCCTGGGTGGAGAGAGGCAAGTGGGGGTGAAGTGGCTTGCCCGAGGACACAACAATATGACCAGCAGCTGGATTTGAACCCCTGACCCTCTGATCATGAGTCAGGAACCCTAACCACTAGGCCACGCTCCCCGTCATTCGTGGGGAAAGTAGTAATTACGATCTAACCGTTGTTCTTCAATAACATGCTGAGTAGATAATGTAATGTCCCAATACCCACAAACCCTCATTTCGACCTCCGCTCATTTTGCTAGAACGCCTTACATTTGTGCCCAGCATTTGAGCACACGAAGTGAGCAGCACATGTACCTTGCACTGGATGGGATCGGCCGTAGACTTCCACCACGGGGCAATCGCCAAAGTACTGGCTGAACATCGTAGTGTCGATGGTTGCTGACATGAGGATGATGCGCATGTCTGGGAAGGATCTCTGCATGTCACGCAGGACTACGAGCAGGAAATCAGTCTGCAGGATAGACCAGAAACAATCAGAAAAGACAACAGACAGGCAACCTCGTCCCCAGTGCTAACTTTATTTCCAACCTCGTTTCCAATAGTAAACCCTGGATAGGAAACTTTCTTCCCGTATCCTGATTCGATACCGCAATTGGTTAGTAATGGATTTCTATTGTGTAGTTCGTGTTGTTATTTCCAACGTGCATACTTGTTTTCACGATCATTGTAGTTATAACGTCCACGCCTTCTCCAAAACACTCCTTTCCTTTCCAATTTGCTCATATTAGTATAAAATGTGATACTGCATATTGGCAGGATAACATTGTAACATTTCAACTTCGAAAACAATCGTGTTTTTGTAACTCACGGTGCAACGACTTGATTCTGTTTTTACCCCAGACATCGCATGCAAAAACAAATGCTACTGTAGCGCACAGGCAGGCACCAGACTATTCCTCATTTGCATACGTGTTCAAATATTTTGCACATACAAAGGATCCCATACCAGGGTGAGAGAGCAAGTATAGTGGTGGGCGCGTACTGCTCGATACCCTGGGGACGAGGTTGACAGACAGGCTATGTTCAGGGTTTGCGTGATTTTCGTGTGATTAACGATTTTTGACATCTAAGTAAACAATCTAAAAAAATGGCATTATTGCCAAAATCTGGCCATTATATGCACTTTGAAACTTTTGGCTGTTTCGGCACGCCAGCCGAATTCTGAATTGTTGCACAAGCACGTTTTCAATTTCATGTCATAAAACTGACTGAAAGAAGGGTTTATCCTACTTACATTGAGATCTCGCTCGTGAATCTCATCCACAATCACGTGAGAAATGCCCCTCAGACCAGCCTCCAACTTACGCAGAAGAGTTCCTGTTGAGTAACGCACACACCCATACAAAGATTCGAAGTTACTTTTATAAGATGGAAATTAGCGGTGTGGAGATGTAACTTCAATATTGGGTTTGGCCTTTAACCACCAACATTTTACAAAACTGTAAACAAAATGTTGTCTGAGGGCTTTTGAGAACAACATTCACGAGGGACTCACACCCACGACCTGCTTACTAGTGCAGACCTCTTACCACTTGACCAACGAGCTAGCTGGGGTCGGCTGGCTGGTCCGAATCTGATATAGCAGTGGGTACCGCAACCAAACTATTCATAAGATGGAAGTTTCGTAGGGGTGATATAAATTCAATATTCGGTTTTGACCCTTAATTGACTGATTTTTTATAAACACTGTATACTCAGTGTTGTCCCTAGCCTTTCGCCAAGGCCATCGTGGCTTTAACTTGCCGGCATTAGGCAAAGCGGCGAAACCGCGAAGCGACTGGAGCAGGAGACCACACACGGGAGTGGCGAAGCCACGAGGCCTTTTCCAACTTGTCTAGAGTTTCTTATGTTTTTCTTTATAATCTCGATTTTTTGCTACCCCAAAAGGGTAGCAATATTCCAACCAATCATCAGCCTTTTAGTGCGCGCGTACGCGTGGCTACTACCCGGAAGCGTCGACGCGCCCGGATGCTTGCACAAAATTAAAAAACAAAAAATGCGAGTCTAGTTTTCCACGAGATCGTGACCGCGCAATTGTTCTTACATTATCTTATTTTAATTTTACTTATAAAAGTATTTCAAGAAATTCTTTGAGTGTATGAACTTATTTTTCATCTGAACTTACAGTTATTTGCTCTTACGTTTTCCTTACTCACCCTCCTTTCACAAATGGAAGCAACTAGGCAAAATCAGCGTTGTGATTGGTTAACCCTACAGCACTCTTCTTATTTGCATAAAGAAATATGAATATTTCAGCAAACTCGAGTTGGAAAAGGCCTCGTGCTTTCGCAGCTCCGCCACTCTAAGCCACGATGGCCTTGGCGAAAGGCTATGTTGTCCTGAGTGATTGTGTGAAAAAAATTACTCGTGTGGGACTCGAACCCACGACCTCATGATTACTAGTGCAGTCGTCTTACCACTGTTTGTCCCACTATTCATATGCACACTGTATTAATACAAACAGTGAATGTAGTAACGACCTCATGCTTACTAGGGCAGACGTCTTACCACTGTTTGTCCCACTATTCATATGCACACTGTATTAATACAAACAGTGAATGTAGTACCGACTTACCGACGGTGCAGAAGAGCATGGCGCCTTGTGGGCGTGGCCTGACTGTATCAAAGCGCACCGAGTAGCCGGAGCTAATGCCTAGATCCTCCCCTCTCTCAACGGCAACGCGCTCGGCGATGGACACGGCACTGATCCTACGGGGCTGTCAGCAAAACAAAAAAGTAATTTCCAAGATGCAAATTTTCAGCTTTATTTGATATCTGTCAATTTGCATGCAAAGCGTACAAGCGCAAAGGAATATGTGGCAAATTTGGCACACTGTCGTGAAGCACCCTAAAACTCTGGGAACCGTCTTTTAAAGGGAATGTACATCATTGGCTTTTGCTGTAATTTTCAGAAATGAGCTATTTGGGGGGGGGGGTAGTATAATAGATCAAATATTGTTACACTGACATGTTTGAAGTTTTGTGTTTGAAAATGCTGGAAAAACCAAGCAAAAGCAAAAATGTTCAAGTGGTCTGGTTCCCTGACTCCACTAAAGATGAAATGGATCCAAAATGCCGGAAAATTGTAAGGTAAGGGAACCAGTCTAGCTGGCCTGCAGCCGTTCATGAACATGGAACCAATAGCAAACAAAATTTGGACTGAAAAAAAAAATTGTAAATTTGGAGCAGTAGTTGAAAAATAGTTAGGTTTTCCAACGGTGGTCGGCCGATGTTGGAAATGTATACAAAAGTACCATTTCTATTGAAAAGTACTTCACACCAGGTGCCATAATTTTACATGATGCTTTAGACTGTCATTTACCAAAATCCTAGTAAGATATTTCGTAACAACTTGGTAGTTTTATTTTTTGATGTTTGCAAATGTTGTATTTTCCCTTTAAATCAGGGTCCACAAAAATCCATGATACACTGATGTTTATATTCTTTGAAGTTGTATTCTTCTTATGAGAAAGTCAATGGACTACCCCCTTGCACAGCAAGGCGATTAATTATGCAAAACAAGACTGCATCTTGACCTCGAGATTCTGACCATTCAGCGGTCGCCTTCTATTGGGTCTTTAACCCAGTGTATTACAAAAACATGGCAGCCAAATTGGCCAAGAGTTCACATTTCTTATCGAAATGACATCACTTCTATAGTTGACTTCGATTCTTTTCTAATGCCACTTCACCAACTTGCACTTTCCAGACTGGTCTTTTCTCTTCAGAAAAAAATGACCTGGTCAGCTTTACTGCGTAGAATTTTGTAATTCAAAGCAACCACTGGACTCAAGGAAAAGTAACCATGAAGAAAATTCCCTGGCTGTTCACACTGGACTAAGAATGGGAAAAGTAACCAACATCTCAGTGAGTTTTACACACAAAAAGTCCAATGTGAACACGGCTCCTGCCTTACCTGCGTGACGATGATGTTGCAGAATGCTCCTTTGCCATGCTGGATAAAGGCGTCTAGGATGAATTGCGGTACCTGGGTGGTCTTACCACAGCCGGTAGCCCCACGGATGATGACCACGGGACTGCGTGTGATGGTGTCTATGATATTCTGCTGGGACTCGAAGATGGGCAGTGAGTGGCGTTCTCCCAACATCTGAAACAAAAGTTGGGGTGTTTTTGTTTCTACATTTACCTTATGCCTCTGGGGATTTTGGCCAAAAAAACCTGCTAGATGTAACAACGTGCAACACTGGAGGGGGGGGGGGGGGCCAGGAAGGGGGCACTTCCCCCCCCCCCAAGGTTTTCACAGGGCAACAGTGCCCGTCTCGCAGTCATTGATGTGCCCCCTCGAGATGAAAACAAAACTGCCCCTCAAATGCACACATGAAAGCATTATGATCGCGCTTGAAAATTGTCTCCTCTCTTGTAATGCAAAAGTGTCCGTCAAAAACACAAATTCCCCTCGCGCATTAACGAGATTGTGAACCTTCTCGAGATGGAAAACCCCCTCGAAAGCACAAATACCCCTTTCGCAATAATAAAACTGTGCTCCTCTCAAGATGGAAAACTGGCCTGTAAAAAAAAAGGAGTGCTCCTCATGCGAATAAAATGGTCACTGAACTGGCCATCAAAAGCAACAGTGTCCTTCTGGCGCTCTCACGATAACAAAAATGGTCCCTTTGCATAGGCCTAACAAGTCAAATTCAAGGGCGGACCCAGAGAGGTTACTGTCGGAGGTGTACCGGAGGCCGAAGGGCTCTCTCATCAAGTGAAAAATTACCTTATTTGAGAACAATACGGCCATATTGAGACTATTTCAGAAGAAAATACAACAAATTTTCACAACTAAGGATTTCAAAAATAGTGCTGCTTGTACCTTTTGGAATCTAGAATCTTGGAGTTTGTGCTGTGAGTCCTGATAGATCTCGTTGCTGACGTCTTCCAGAGTCATCTAAATCAATCAAATCAGATCAAAGATCATTTCACACACACACAAAATGAAAACAGATCAAAAGAACATTGTTGTAGATAAGGTACTTGTACTTGCGATGGATCGCAAGTGAATCACAAAGTCTGGTCACAAGTCGATTCACATGTCCAAGTTGACTTGTGATGACTTGTGATTGACTTGTGATTGACTTGTGATTGACTTGTGATTGACTTGTGATTGACTTGTGATTGACTTATGACTGACTTGTGACTGACTTGTGATTGACTTGTGATTGACTTGTGATTGACTTGTGATTGTAAGAGACCAAACAAGTAGCAAGTTTACTTCTGCATTGAAAGGTGCCACTGAAAATAAAAGAAATTTATTTCAAAGAAAAGGAAAATGTCTCTGACATTTCTTTGCTGCAAAAGCTTACATACATACTCTCTGCCAGTATTCATTCTGCTAGTTTAATATGACTTAAAGCACAGTAACAATTTCAAACCAATAAATTAAGTGCCAAGAGCCAATGTGGCCCATCAGGCCAGCGTTCATCTCCGGTTTGCTTGGCATCAACAACTGAGAATACTTCTATTCCCCCTGGATGGAATGCCAGCACATCACAGATTACTCCCCAGCTTATGCAGGTACCCATTTATACTCCTGGGTGGAGAGGGGCAAATCGGGGTGAAGTGGCTTGCCCAAGGACACAGAACACAACCAGCAGCTGGAATCGAACCACTGACCCTCTGGTCATGAGTTAGGAACACTTATCACTAGGCCACAATCTTTGGAAGAGTCAGGACTCTTTGGGCATAGTTTTAAGACTCACCTGAGCTAATGGCCCCTCGTCGATGTTACAGTTGAGCCAGGGGTTCCAGTTGGGTTGCGGGGGTGACCAGGACACCCCATATGCCCCCCTCGGGCCCTCTGGATTCTCAAATGTCTGGTCGTCCTTTTCCGAGGTAAGCTTGACTGGTTCATTCTGAGAAATTTAATGGGTGGGGTATTTATAATTACGACTGAATTCAAATTCGAATGATCAAATACTAAATTATGCGAACACAAACAGCCCTAATGTCATCTATCGAGCAGAAACCTGGAGCTTGATGAAAGAGATTCAAGATCGCCTTGATGGCACATACACCAGGCTTCTTATGAGGGTGCAGAACATCTCATGGCGTGAGCACAAGACTAAAGAACAGATTTACGGAGGCCTTCCACCTATCTCTGCTATTGTTGCTAAACGACAAGTTCGCTTTGCTGGCCACTGCTACCGTGCTGTAAACCAGGTCATATCTGATGTATTATGTTTGAGACTTCCATGCACTAATAGAGGACGAAGACCTTTCAACTACATTGATGTGATTGGCAGAGACACCCAATGTGAAATTGAAGACCTTCCGTACATAACGAGGGATAAAGACACCTGGCATAACGTTGTGAACGAGATCTCGGTTGCGACCGCTAGATGATGATGATGATGAATGTCATCATTTGATATTTGAAGAAAAAGAAAAAGCTCCAGACTTTTGCTCATAATCAATGAATTCTTGGCCAACAGAAACATCTCTTTACCCGATCCAATGACAGACCAAAATAATTTACAGTTACGATTTCCAAAGTCAATTTGTGATATTTCAAATTTGTAAATTTCAAAGTGTAAATAAGGTCAAAGTTGGCTAAAATTTAGCGCGAATCTGTAGATTCTAGAATGGGTGTTCCTTACTGGAATGTTGCTGGCTGTCCATAAAAAAAGCTACATGTAATTCACCAAATGCCCCTTCCGGCTGGAGAATTTGCAGGAACAATCAAAGTTTTAAATTTGTTTTTTCCATTCTTTTAAACAGTGCTTAACTTACCTGAATGGTGGGTTCTGGGACAAAGGGAAGATTGAGCTGCTCGAGTGCATCAGTAAGCTTGGCCTCCACCTCCCCGACTAGGGTCACATTGTAAGGCTCCAACTGAAAAGGAAACAGACTCAAATGACGCAAAATGGCTTAAAGGTCAAAGGGTCGCAAGGTCACAAGGTCACAGGGCCGCAAGTCACTGTGTGGTACAATCTCATTGGATGAATTGGGCATTCCGGACCAATTTCACGACACTTGTCTCATTTTACGACAACATTTGAAACGATACGAGGAGTGTTGTGGAACTGACCAAGAATGCCCAATTCAGCCAATGAGATTGTACCACACAATGACTTGTGACCCTGTGACCTAGTATGGTTTAAGAAAGTCAGTGCGCTCTCAATTGACGTATTTTGTTTTAGAGTGTTTTCATAGAGATAATGTTTGTAATATTTAACCGTTCAAAGTCTCAAGGAAGCAGACTTGTTTAAACTGGCAAAGCAAACATTTGTGATGCGATCAAGCTACATGAGTTGTTTGTGGGGAATTTTCATTTGGAGATACAGGCCAAAATAGGGCCACTTCATCACATCACTTCATCACATCTCTTGGTGTTCCGACTTCCATAATTTTTGAACTAAAGATGGTATCAGCATGCGGTTTTCACAGCAAAAATGCTGAGATTGTGCTCTTTTCAAATCTGTAATAAAAAAAATTTGACCGGGGTCGACAAATGACTCATTTAGCTTGTTCGCATCACAAATTTATTCCCTTATTAATGATTCAGAGAATTGATTTGAAACTCCTAGTCTGTAATCTCCAAGACCAATACTAGATGCTGGATGCACAGGTTTAGAAAAAAAAAAAAAAAAAGATTTTCAGGTTTATTTACTGAACTCTTAAAGGCTCTGTAATGCTGGAAGGAGAACCTACACTCTCTATCTTTCTCTTCTTGGTCACCCCCGTGAAGGCTTCGATCTCTCCCACGTGGTACAGCTGCCTGACCAGAGACAGAGCACATGACAATGATGCTGTCTTCTTATTGGATCCCTGCTCCCTGGCATGGATAGCTGAGGGGAGAAAATAAACACAAGACGGGAAGAAAAAGTCAGAAATAAAAAAAAAAAAACCAGAAAAAAAAATATGGGCGAAGGCATACAATACAGGGTGAGTAAAAAAAAACGCAACCCAAATGTCAAGACCATTGTTTTAGTGAAGTTCTGCATGTAGCACTTTCCAAATCTAGGATATGAAAGGCCAATTCATAAGCTTTCTTTTAGTACAAGAATCATTCAAATCACTTACGTACTTTTCAAGCTACAGAATGTTAAACACAACCACCATTTTAAGGTTCTATCCACGGATCACAAAAAAGTTCAATATTCTTTCAGCAAAACAAAAACAAATCATATAGGTATATGTGTGAATTGTTTTCGTTTTGCTGAAAGAACGCACACCATTTTTGTGATCCGTGGACAGAACTTTAAAACGGTGGTTGTGTTTAAATTCCGTAACTTGAAAAGTACATGAGTGATTTGAAAGATTCTTGTACTAAAAGAAAGCTGATGAATTGGGCTTTTATGTCCTAGATTTTGAAAGTGCTCCATGCAGAACTTCAGTACAACAATAGTCCTGACATTTGGGTTTCGATTTTTTACTCACCCTGTTCAAAGGGAACTAACAGACATAAAGAAATAATTCTTCACTTTCACAACATGTTTTTACCCAAAAAGTATACGGCTTTTACTTTTATTCCATTTTCCACAACCATACATGTATATCAGATTATTCCCAAACAAAAAGACTACAATGGGAATACTCACTGCGTCTTGATGACTTGATAAACAGGGACAGCTCTGCCACGTAGCTCCTGTCAGGTTCAATACACATAACATTACTTGTTATACTAAAAAGCATCAACTACATGTACACAAGTACACAATGTATATGTATAATGGGCAGAGTAAGAATAATCCTTCAAAGGTGAATGAATAAATCCCCGTCATCTGATTGGTGGATCGTTGATCACATGTCATTGAATTATTCATCCCAATGCACGGCGGGGCCGCACCACAAAAATAGAAGTTCTACTGCACGGTGAATAGAACTTCCATTGCATGGTTTCTTTACTGCCGGTGGTGGCGCTGTAACACCGAACTGATTCACAGAATGTCAAATTGCATATTGGCGGAGGATACGCAAGAATATCCATTTGTTCTCCAAAGAAATATCGGAACTCTAGGTAAATGCTGACGCTGCTAACACAAAGAAGCAAATAAAATTTGCTGCCAAACGATTGGACCAATTTGAATATGGTAGTTCTGAAATTGTCGAGAACAGTTTTAAAATACATCAATTGGATATGAAAGTTCTGAACTTAGTTGAGGAACAATTTTAGACCGAGATAAATTGAATATGCTGGCTAGTTCTGAACTTGTCGAACAGTTTTGAATAAATCCAGTATTGGAAGTGACCACTAGTTATTGCCATCTGAAAAGGTACAACATTGATATACATGTAAGTACCAGTTCACAAGTCAACCAATCAGACTACAAGGATTTATTCAGGTGTTATATAAAACAAGTAATGAATGTTTCACATTCGTGCAATGGAAAGAATGATTTCATTCGGTGACAGACCAATGTTCCATTCCACTCGGCTTCGCCACTCGGCTTCGCCTCATGGAATGGAACATCATCACCTCATGAAATTATTCTTACCATTGCACTCACAAACATTGATTATTTGTATACTATTGCACTGTAAATGTTAAACGCTTTGTAGCCCTTTTAGTTCAAACAAAACCTCCCTTTGAATATTTTGCATTTATTTCTTCTGCAACTAAATGTGATTGAAAATAGTTTGGTTCGCCCATTGTATTAAATCCCAGTGGTTTTTTTGCAGTTTATAATTTTTTTCAAGCCACTTACTACTGTTTTCACAATGTTTTTCAGCAAAACGAAAACAATTCTCATAGGGATGTATGTGAATTGTTTTTGTTTTGCTAAAAGAACACTTACCTTTTTGTGATCCGTGGACAGAACTTCAAAATGGTATTGTTTAAAATTCCGTAACTTGAAATATACACGAGTGATTTGAATGAAAAAAGAAAGCTTATGAATTGGGCTTGCATATCCTAGATTGTGAAAGTGTTACATGCAGAACTTCACTAAAAAAATATGGTCCCGACATTTGGGTTCGTTTTTTTCTACTCACTCCGTAGTGTGATTTGAAGACTTTATGTCACAAACCGCAATCTTATAAGCAGTTTTCTTAAGTTTACATTTGGCTATAACATTTTCCCAATGTTCGCCCAATGTTCGTACAATGTTTACATGGTTCCCTAATACATGAACTGTGGATCTATGTGTAATGCTCATCAGTGCAAAACAAGTCTAAAAGGGACCAGCTAGAATAATTACGCTTAACAGTAGTAAGTCACGGTACAGTGTAAGTTAACGTGAAGGGACTGATTTAAACGCCCAATGGGAACAAGGCTGATATAAACGACTCATTTTTACGGAGCAGACCACACTGGGCCTTATTCTTGAGTCGGCCATATTGAATTGAAAGTTAGGTAAAATCTTAAATTTTGGAACTTGCGGAGAGAAATGAAAGCAAGTTAATTTATAATAAATTCCAGTCTGCTTCAATGAATAATTTAAAATTTGTAATTAAACATTCCCTAATGTTTAAAGCCATATTTAAACAAAAAAATGACAGTAAAATAAGGCTGCATGGTGCCTGCATAAATAGTCTGGCGCCACCCATTCAAAAGTTAAGAATTAATGAAATACATTCAGGGAACTCGACAAAAATGGCCAACTTGTGAAAGAGGCCCATCTTCTAAAGTTACCAACCTTCACTGCCGGATACTTTATCCCCTTCCACCATCAGTGCACCAGATCTGGGCTGATCATTGCCGTCGTCGCAAGGGTCAGAGGGCAAGGGTCGCGGGGAATTTGAGCCCTTCAATGAAGAAGTGTCACAGACAGTCACAAACACTCTATTTCCATTATGGACAGATCATAGTGACTATTTGTGACACATCTTTGCCCTGCACTGACGGGGCCAAATTCCGCCGTTTGCCCACTTTTCAGAACTTTTTTTCTTTAGGAAATTTCCCAGCAAATCACTCACAATTTACTGGAAGACCTCCATACGCAACATGAGATTGACCATGATTTCAGAAACTTGAACTCTTTAAAGGGAATGTATAACATTTGCTTTTACTGTAATTTTCAGCCTAGGACGGATTTGGGGGGTTAGTATTTTATAGCAAGTTACACTGACATGTTTTAAGTTTTGTGTTCATAGATGCTGGAAAAACCAAGACAAAAAATGATGCTCTTGTAGTCTGGTTCCCTGACCCCACACTTCAGATGAAACGGAACAATTCGATTGACGTTGGGCAATTGTCAGGTCAGGGAAGCAGACTAGCTGGCTTGAACCCATTCACAGATGTGTATAACCGATTGCAAGCAGAATGTGGTTCTAACTAAAATTTGGTGAATTGGGGGCAGTATTTGAAAAAAATCTGTTTGTTTTCCAATGGTGGTTGGCCTATCATCATGGGAAAATGATACAAAAAATCCACTTTTCTTGTAAAATGACAGCACACCAGGTGCCATGATTTCACAGGATGCTTGAGACTATTACTCACTTACAGTCATGTAATTTTTTTATAATAACTTGGTAGTTTTGTTTTTCAATGTTTGCAAATGTTGTACATTACCTTCAACATCTTTTTGTAATATTAAATCGACTTTAAAAAAGCTACTAAGCATAGAAAAGATTTGCCGATTATTTTTTAGCAAAAAGTGGTTACCAGCCAAAATACATGGTTGACATTGGTGGCGACTGGTTCCCATCCCATTTCTGCTTAGTATGTAAATTTCATCAGCTAAATGTTCTGCTTACAGTTGCTACTCCATAAATTTGGGTCTTGGAATAAGGCAAACAATTGACCTATGGTTCTAAAATACCGTAGGATCATAATTTATCAGTTCCTTAAGTGCCAAATTGACCAGTTTATTTTAATTTTCGCTGGGAGTCGAGGATAACCAATGTCCAGTTTCCCTTGCGAATGGCAGGGGAAAGTGCTCACTGGTTGCCCATTTGGAACAAAAGGTACTGCTAGTAACTGCTCACTGAATTTGTGTCCATTTTCATGAGCACTGCAACAGCGCAAATATTTATGATTTTAGCCCGGATCTGGTGCACTAAGGTCCAACCTGCTAAAATAAACCCCTGCAAAAGAACTGACGTACCACAAAACACAGTATTCAATTGAAAAACCTGAGGTTAAAAGTTTCAATGAAGTGAAGTTCTAAAACAAATGCGAGGCGTTCTGGCAAAATGTGATGGAACTTGGCACAGGGCAACAAACCAAAATGGGGGGGGGGTGTTTTTTTTATCTGTAATCTTTGATATATTTATTACACATTTAAAGAAGTGTCAAAAAAATCGCGGAATAAGCATGTTTTAATCAGGCATGCAACTTAGAACTAACAAAAAAACGAGGAAAAAATAGTTTTTACAGAACTTTGTACAATGTTTCTTAAATTTAAATGGCTAAAGTCTGATGTGAAAAACGAAGAAATCAGCTGATACGAGCAAAAGTTGCATTCCTGCTTAAGGGAAAACAATTGCCATTTTTCATTTTCACGACTACAGGACTTGAAACTTGAAAGACTTTTTTCTCAGTATTTTTACTTTTTGTTTTTACTTTTTTTCGAATGTCTAATTGAAGTGTAACAAACACTATTGTATGGAAAATTTTCTTCTCTTTCCTAATACTCACGAAACCTCATTTCCACCTCTGCCCTGTTTCTCATTTTGCCAGAATGCCTCACAATATTTAATGTTCCTTACTGGAACATAAGTTTTTGCTTAACCCTAACCCTGCCAGACGCAACACAGTGCATCAGGTGGAAAATAACTGGCGCACTTTGATACATTCAGCTACCAACACCAGTGCATGAATGGCCAGCTCTGAAACAATGAGAGCTAATCCCATAGAACAATGCCACAGTTGTATCCTGCTGCATCCGGTGACCACAGACTCTGAGGCAGTTTGGCCTTAAAGACTTTTGCCCTGATGGATCTTGCTACATTTGGCAGGCTTGTCACTTAGACAAGTGGTGCATGTTGCTACGTTTGGCACGGTTCTAGCAAACATACGCTGGAGGGTTAGGGTTAAGACAGCAGATTCAAAAATGGATCACTTTGAAAGTGCCACGTCAATCATTTCTTGAATACTGTTCACTTGTTCGGTGGACAAAAGAAGCAAGCACTGAGTTCTCAAACAAAAATTAGCTGGATAAAAACAAAATTTAAGCAAAAACATTTCAGTACTTATGGTGTTGAACATGTTGAAATTCAGACAAGTTTATTTTTGTCAAAATAGAAAAACCACAAGAACAATTTCTTCAAATTTTTTAAAAAATTCAAAAAAATTACTTATCACATTCACAGCACCATCTTTTAATTTCTATTGTAAAATGCTGCATAACTTTTGTTATCAAATAATGTCGCCAGTTTTACCTATTGTGGTCTTGACCGACTGACGAGTACTTGTATTCGCCGGGCAGACGGTTCACTTGAAGGTACTGATGGAGACGTGACTTGGCATTGGATAATGTCCAGTTGCCATGGATACCAGCATTCAGATCTACATTTTCAGACTGTTCCATGGTTGAAAAAAAAAAAAAGGTGAAAAACATAAGGATAGGCTTTTATAATTTATATCACAACTACCACAATCCTGCGCTACGCATAGTGATCTTTTACTTGAAAGGTAAACAACTTTTTTTTAGAGAGAGTAAAGATGGGAAATCACAATTACATGTACTTTTAGCGAAACTTAACAATTTGTCAAAAATTCTGTTTGCGTAGTATACAAATATTGAATGCTTCGAGTGGTGCAGTAAAACTAGCCTCCCGAGGTGATCCATGGACATTCTATTTTCCCCGAGGGGAAGCCGAGGGAAAATGGAATGCTCCATGGATCACCGAAGGTGAAGTGTTATAAAATATTTGTTTTATAACACTTCACCCACAGATTCTGCTTGGTTTTGATATTTTAAATTATTTAAATCTGAACACAGTTAAAATAAACTTCAATTTCAATACAAAATTGGTAAAAAATGTATTTCTCTCTTCCAAACTACCCCTTCGCGAAATGTTTGAACCCAACTCTGTGGCGCGATCTCTTTGGAACAAAACGAACTACGCACAACGGGCAAACCAGCATGCATTAGCACACAAATACGGCGCCGTGGAAACAGTACTTTGGTTGCTAATGGTATAGTACTTTGGTTGCTACGGGTATAGTACTTTTGGCCGTGCACAGAAAGATAGCAAAAATAGAAAGCATCATGTGACTCGCTCTCGGTGAATCAAGACACAGAATCTGTGGATGAGGCGTTATAAAGCAAAATAACACGCTCATTTGCTGATTGTGCATTTCCGTTTAGGGGGTATCGGCTTCGATGGCGCACTGGTATGGAATACAAACGCAGATATGCAAATAGACGTAAAAAATACGTACAAACTTTCTCCACAATACATACAAAATTTCTAGTTCTCCATAGGTTTGTGTATAAACATGGATGCGCCCAGCAGGTTTCACTTTGTACATGAGTTAGCGCTCTAGTAATTTAATATAGCTCTATGTGCTGCACATTTAACAACTGTTGACTGCTGTGATGTGGGACATGATGTTTTTAAAGATATAGTCCATCATTTGTAATTTGTGCATTTTGTTCGTTTGAAGCAACAAAAGTGTTCAAAATCTAATTAAGGATACTGAACAACTAACCTGATGAAGTTTCAGCTCAGCTTCAGCTGTGTATTCCGAGAAAAATAACATTCTAGGATCTCAATTTCAATTCAAAAGTTGCTGAATCATGTTTTGAATTGTTTTGAATTGCAGCTATACGCGATGTCGCGCACTGATCCGACGAATTATAGCAACCGCGCGCGCCTGTGCGTCATGCCAATGCTTGCGCGCGCTGCGCCGAACAACAAAACGAACTACTAATTTAAGTTTTCCTACAGTGCATCTTGATACGCACCGTTGGAAAGGCCTTCTTTCGTTGATTACTTCAAAATGATAGCTTGCCAGAAAGATTAATTTCACAGGGAGTTTAGTCCACTTACTATCTTTCAACCAAGTATGTTTTTCAACAATAATACACCAGTTACTTTTTCGGATGGCTGCAAATGATGGACTATAGCTTTAACACCCGAGGGGTGCATAACACTTGAGGCGAAGAAGAGGGTGCTATGCCCCCCGAGGGGTTAAAAACAGTCAAAGCTCCGTTTCTCAATCATCTCAAACCGGTACATGTATCTCACCTCTTCTAGTTTTCTCTTCTCCCCTCTAGTGTCAAAGAAGTTGCGCTGGTAGGATGGCATCCCGCCTTCCCGCTGACCTTGCTGCTCAAAACTAGAAGAAGCTTTGTTGAAGAATCAAACATTTTTACGGTTCAATTTTAAATGTTTTTTCATAACTTTTTAAAATAGAATTTTAGAAATATTTACTTCAACCTTCCCTTTTAACCCTAACCTTCCCCAATCCTGCAAAATCCTCTTTGCAAACTGGAGGATTTTGCAGGATTGAGGCTATATGGCAAACATGTGTGGCTGATTTTGGAGGATGCTCTGTGTCAAGGTCTTGGGCTGGACCTTTTGTTGTGTATGCTCAGCCCTGCATACATTTAGGCCTCGATTATAAAATCCTCTGCACTGCTCCAGGATGTCACTGGCTCTGCCTCAACATATTGACAGTGATTTCTGGAAGATTTTGCAGGATTGAGGCAGTGGTCCCCCCTCCAAGGACCAAGTAAATAATAGTCTCAAGCATCCTCTGATATCATGGCACCTGGTGTGCTGACGTGTTCAAGAAGAGTTGAATTTTTGTATCAATTTCGACGACGGTCGGCCTACCAAAAAGCTGCATTTTCTCAAATACCGCCCCAATTTTAACAAATTTAATTAGTCAACATTTTGTTTGCAATTGGTTACACATGTCTGAACGGGTGCAAGCCAGCTATAGTCTGGTTCCCTGACCTGACAATTCCAGTACTACCCATAAATGCACACCACTACAATTAACTCAGCAAATTTCCCTTGTTTCCCTTTCCTAAATGTACACCCCTGCCCTGCGAGAATGTTGAAACACCTGAATGTGTTATCAACTCATAAATGAAGGGTTTGGAATATTCCATTACCTTGTGGTGGGGCTGCCGAGTCTCCAACAGCAAGATGAGGGGCAAGGGCCACTCCCGACGGCAACTCCGACGGCGGCTGACCGTCAGACTCTTCTGGTTTGGGCTGAAATGCAAGGAAAGGAATTGTGAGTGCCGCAGAATTGTGTTTGCTGGGCCAAGACAGCTAGCCTAGTGTCATCTTTGTGCCTAACTGACTGACCGACTGACTGACTCCCCGACTGTCATCTGTGAATTAGACTTGCCAAAATCTCCCCTTGGCCCTAAAATTTGACTACACCGGTCCAAGAGTGTCAGCCTATTGGTAAGCTCTTGCAAACTGCACAGCTGCATTAGTCCTGTGCCCAAGCCCTTCATATGAAAGTGTGTAACGCTGGTGTGAAAAACACTTAATGGCATTTCATTTTTAGGAGTTGTCGGACAAACAAGTAGGAAATTCAAGAAAAAAAGTAGATAAAGTAGGAGCAACGTAAAAAAGTAGGAAAAAGTAGGAGTGTTTGAACATGTTGAAAGCCTGCCATTGAGAAACCATTGTGCACGCGATTGTACAAAGCAACTGCCTCGTGACAGATTATCTGAACAATAGCTAGCACAATGCGTTCGCCATTGAAGGGGGCCTTCGTGATAGCATTGATGGTATGCCCTGATTGGACCATTGAACGGCTTGTCTTTGAAAAAAAGATTTTCTGGGTTTAAACCTTTTGAGCATTGAATTCAAATTTTTTATTTGCTTGACTAGTCTAGGGGCTAGACGTTGTTATGGTTTGATACGCGATAACCTGCCGCCGCGATAACCCGTCGCCGCGAGAGGACGTTATCACGATCAACCAATATGACCCACAAGTGGTCACTAACAACGTCTAAGGAAAAACGTCTAACAACGTCTAACAACAAACGTCTAACAACGTCTAAGGAAAAAATAAAATGGGGGAAATTATTGCACATGTATTCGCTACTTCTGCAGGCAATGACGGTCCATTTGCACACAAAGACTTGCTGCAAATTGAAGAGTTTGGTTCGGAATTACCATGTGTATGTACTATAAAATGTTTTGAATGCGCGCTGCATATATTAGGCCAAACAGGTGCCTGCGCATTACACAACCGATGCGAGATTCCGTAGACGTTTTTGGTGACCGTTCGTGGGTGATATTGGTTGGTTGTGATAACGGCCTCTCGCGGCAGTGGATTATCGCGACGGCGGGTTATCGCAAACCATAACAAAGTCGAGCCCTTAGACTATTGCTCGACTTAAAACAGAAACAAAAGCCCACCATTGATTGCACCGGCAGGTCTGATTCCCTGACTTCTCCCACCCGTACGAGGTACATCAGGAAGTCCTTGGCAGCATTAGCCTGGGCCTCCTTCTTCCCGGTCGAGTTCCCAGCCCCGACATAGTTGTAGCCGGGCACTCGAACCTGTGGGGTGGATTAAAAAAGGTCATTAAAGGAAATTGGTTGGAAAATGCTGTAAAAGTGGTTGTTGCACCCATACACTGTACATATTTATGAGCTATTTATTGCTTCTTTCATTGGTTGAAGCAATCGTGGAACTCCGCATGGGGTGCTAAGCACGCACCAACACCTTTTTTTTGCAAAGAGGACATTGGAGGATTTGGGAAGGGTAGCGTTAAAGATAACGAAATACAATCTAAGAAAATTGATGGCAACTGTGAGAAAAACAGCACTGGCAATCTTGGGAAAAATCTCACGAAAGCGGTACATGTTTGGAAAAAAGACTGCATCCTCCTTTTTCCAAAAAAGTTCCAATGAGAAACTAGTTTTCTTTTTTTATTTGGCTTAACCAAAAACTTCCTCTAGCAATTTCTCTGCTTTCATCTTGCTCACCATTGTGTCACCACGAACTGTAAACTGAGAGCACAATTTTACCATAAAAAGTCTGTTTTTCAAAAAAGGGCAGATCTATTATTTGAACGATATTTTAAAAACCTTTTTTTTTAAACAGCTGCAAGCAATGATAACCGGTGAAAAAAAATACAGCAAGTTGCAAACTTGTGCGATCCCCCTGGCCTGCTGGCAGTATTTATACCATCAATTAGTTAGCACCATTTTTAGTTTACCTAATTGCAATCAACAATGACCTCATCTGACCCCTAGATGACCTTTGACCTCAAATGTCTGATGTCATCTTAAGTCTGCCTTATCCAAAGAGTATTGTTACCAAGATTGGTTGAGAGCAAAGTCTGACTTTTCATGACAGCACTTTTCATTTGAAACCAAAATCAACAATGACCTCATTTGACCCCTACATGACCTTTGACCCCAAATGTCTCAAGTTATCTGAAGTCCCCTACCCAAAGATTATTTTCACCAAGATTGGTTGAGAATGAAGTCTGACTTTTCATATGACAGCCCTAAACAATGAAAAAACTTCCCCATAACGTGGTGTAGGCCTACCCATACACACAGACTAACATGTTTGTTTATGTTGTAAATCAAGGATTTTCTTTTGTTCCTCTTCCCTTTTCCTTTGTTTATACTCTAACTTTTTTGCAACAGCTCTCATTGGTTTAGTTAACGTTTGGTTTTGTACACGTTTCCTAACCGAGGAGTCTTCGATTAGGTTCCTGTGCTCAATTCATCGATGAGGCCACAAAAAAAAATAGTTCTGCTTCCGATTACATGGCATTTGAAAATAGGGTACGTAGGTAGGGACAAATTTTTTTTGCCATTTTTTTTGTGTACGATCATATGGAGGCATCTGCGTGTAGTAAAAGGGTAAAAGGTAGAAATGGATGGTTTTTTTTTTTTCCCCCCCCTTATTTTTCCAATAAAACAATTAGGGTAGGGGCTGTCAGAATAGGGTAGGTAGGGAAACCGGAAGCAGAACTATTATTTTTTTGGCCTGATGTTGCACATAAGTATCCTCGAATTCCTCGATTTACACCATAAACAAACGCACACAAACCGACACACATTAAGGAATACACTAGTCCGAAAATTTGGGACTCTCAATACTGTGTATGATGAGAGTCCCAAAACTTAAGGTATCCATATCGTGCAAATGTTTGTGCTGCATAATAAAACCAGTGTGAATCAAATTTGCAAGCTTCTTACTCACTACAGTTTCTTCAATAATCCCCGAAACTTTTGCCTCGCAAAGTTGCTGTTGTGAGCATTGCATCACCAAAAATTCAGCTTTTAATTATAATTTTACAGAGACTTATCGAAATCCATACGTGAGACATCACGTTGATGTGTACTGCAATGCATTGTGCAAAAAGACTCCTCAGCTATAACATTTTCATCGTGTAGATAAAACAGCGCCCTCTTGTTGATCTGAGTGAATGCAAAATGTTTCATTTAACAGAGGGCGCTATGTTCATTTGGCCATCGATTAAAAAACAAGTTAGCTGCAAGGCTCTACCTACACCTACCCAGAATACATTGGGAATCACACACACATTTCCAGAGCATGGAGATTGACATGGATGGTTTTTGAACTGCCAAAAACTTGCCTTAATTAATTTAATTTAACCCTAACCCCCTAGGCCCTTGTTGCTTACAACCATCCTACATTTTTCAAAATTGTCAGACAGTCCTGCCTCAAATGCATTATCCTCAATCCTCCAAAATCCTCCTCATTCCAAAACTTTGCACTCATGTTTAAATGAAGGATAACCAACGCCAAATCCTTCAAAATCATCAGACAGTCCTGCCTCAAAATGCATTCATCCTCAATCCTCCAAAATCCTCTTGTGCTTCATTCACCATTCATCCTCAATCCTCCAAAATCCTCATGTGCTTCAATCACCATTCATCCTCAATCCTCCAGAATCCTCATTTGATTCAATCACCATTCATCCTCAATCCTCTAGAATCCTCCAAAACCGCCAGGAGGATTTTGGAGGAGTGAGGTGGGTTAGGGTTCAAATTGGATTCAAGGTCTCAAATTTCGCAGGTGACATGCTTGCAACTATATCATTTTGATGTATGTGTTGTGTGGGCATTAATTAGCCAAATGGTGAGTAAAAAATGTCAGTAGTAATTTTGCACGTTTTTATGCACTCACGGTCCCAGTCTGGGAATACACTATCACAATCCCCCTTTTCGGCTTAAAAGCCAGGGGGATAAAATCGTCGCGTCAGTGCAACAAGGTCGTAACTCCATTCTGCAACAAAGTCGTATCTCGTGCGAATACGCTCCGTGCAACAAAGTCGTATCTCGACGTCCATTGACTTTGCATGTACATCCGGGTTATTTTAAGCGAGATACGACCTTTTGACCTTTTCGTGTTTTGCGTCGTTCATGCCATTTTAGGAGATACGACCTTGTTGCACTGACGCGACGAAATCAGCACCTTATGTACCTCACAAAGAAACCGCTGACGGTGCTTGGGGCCGGAGTTCTTGATCTCATAGTTTGGCGTCACTTTCTTTCTGCCGCAAAAGCTGTACAGGAAATTCTTGACGTCACCCATTGCTGTCTGCTTCTAGACATGTGATGACGGACTGAAACAAAACAGATTCTAAAAAGGTGAGGACTCCAACGTTATGTCTTCATGGTCCAAATGTTAAAAAAGGCGATAAGTTGGGTCCAAGTTACTCGGACTAGTTGTGTACAAAGTCATGAAAGTCCATGGACATGATCATATGATGGACAACAATTTAAGGCAGTGTATATTTTGCCGGAGACGGCAAACCTTTAGTAAACGTTAGTTTGCCGGATATGCACTGAACATGCGCAGTTACTGGTTTTTTGTACTTAAACATTTTCCGGTGACAAGTTTTAGTCTGGCTCCATGCCAAAATTATCGTTGTTACCTCGTATTCACAAGATGGGATTCAGACCATTTTATAATTTCGGACTTTATTTCCCTTTTAAAAAAAATCCTCCAGAGCCACAAATCTGAAAAAGAAAATGTAATACTCTGCAAAAAATGTTTGAGACATGTTAAAATAATAAAAGAAGAATATTCTTATTTATTTGGGGATGAGAAAAAAACCTTAAAAATGTGGTGCGGTCGGAATCGAACGCGAGTCATCCCGCTTACTAAAGCCTTTGCTTAACCATTACACCAAACGTGCAACACAACTTTTGGTGGGAATTTAATGAATGTCGGACACTTCGCCCCATTTCCACGTCGCCCCATGTCACTTCGCCCCTAACCACTTCGCCCCATCCCCACTTCGCCCCATTCCCACATCGCCCCATCCCCACTTCGCCCCATTTCCACTTCGCCCCATTCCCACTTCGCCCCATCCCCACTTCGCCCCAGCCGTTACACGTAAAAAAAAATCTCATCTATTTTTTTGGCTTAAAAAACAATTTCAACAGATTCACTAATTGCTAACCAACGGAAAGAATTAGCCCATCACCAAATGAACAATTCATAACCAACCTTTCAGGCTCTCCCCTACCAAGAAAAAAGCTTGAAGTAAAAGATCCAACTTTGTTCCCAACCCGGCTATACCAACCCGTCTCCCACTTATCTGAGAACGACAATACCTTTGACATCCTAATTTCACTCTTGGAGGAACCAATCTCATCTAAATGAAGTTGTAAGTGTCACATATCAGACAAATTTTGACGGAACATTTTCCTCAAGGCAGTGAGTTCCTTTTAACTCACTGACCCATACCTACGGATTCTTTTGAATCCAGCCGCTTCCAGCGGCTGATGATTCACAAGCCAATAGGAGAGGCGTCTCTGAATGGGATAGAGCCATCATTTCTCTCATCTGTGTCTCGAGCACCTCATCAGAGAGTTTGTATTTTTCCTAAGTTTCTAGAATTGGGAGCATTTATTATCTGGGGTCTTTGGCAGTTTATTTGGTCTGCACCCCTAGCCTTCACCTTTTTCATACTACATGGGGCGAAGTGGGGATGGGGCGAAGTGGGGATGGGGCGAAGCGGGGATGGGGCGAAGTGGGGATGGGGCGAAGCGGAGATGGGGCGATGTGGGGATGGGGCGAAGTGGGGCGGGGATGGGGCGAAGTGGTTAGGGGCGAAGTGACATGGGGCGACGTGGAAATGGGGCGAAGCGTCCGACACCCGAATTTAATACATCTTATAATTCAGCCCTATTTTAAAGAGTACAGCGCCCTCTGTTGATATGGATTGCCGCCGGCAAACCTTTAGTAATCGTTAGTTTGCCGTCATTACCTCCGGCAAAATATCCACTATCAAAATTTAATGGAGATTCAAGAACATTTTCAAAGTATCTTCCTCACAAAATTTAATGTTTCTCAGTCCCAGATTCATGCCTTTTCAACATATTTGCAATGACTGATCTTCATCATGTTCAATGAGATGATGTTCATTTCAAACAAGTGAGAATGTTTACCTTTAAATTTCCAAAGATACGCGAGCCAGCGGAAGTGCGGACCTGACCGTAGACGACCACGTTTTAATACCGTTTTAATTAAGCGGTCGCTTGGTGGCGCCGTACAGCACACGCGGGCAGCTGTTTCATGTAGTCATATGTGCCCCGCGCCGTCTTACTTTGGGTTTTTGGTGCGGGGCACATATCAGTACATGAAACAGTCATTGATTAAGCGCGACTTGTTTTTCTTCAATAGTGACGTCACACACGCGCGCAATGAATTATGCATCAGTCATGTCAGTGAAATAGACTGTGCAACTCGGCAGACACATTTAATTGTGAGCGGTAAGTTCAGACTATTTTGTTCTTTTTTCAAAATTACCGGTTGTTTGAAACAATTTGAGGGGTCTTATGGAATGTCATGAATGTGTGGATCTATCCAGGGTTACTGTCTTCCTCATTTGTATTTTCTTTATCGGTTTTTTTGGGCCTTGTTCTCGCGAGGGCATGCACAAAATGCATACCGTCATGACGACCGTGTAAGTGCTACCAAAGTATGGCAAATCGGTGGAGCGTTTGTATGGAGGGGTACCCGTAATTCAACGCTCCACTTAGTCCGAGTAACTTGGACCCAACTTATCGCCTTTTTTAACATTTGGACATGGTCTGGCTTACTATCGCCAGACCATGTCCAAATGTAAAAAAAGGCGATAAGTTGGGTCCAAGTTCATGAAGTTACTCGGACTACGCCACATACAAACTTATCGCGAAAATTCACCTATGCAAATTGGGGTCAACACGCCCCTCATTATGACGTCAACGTTGAGTTCGTGCTTGCGCTCATGCCATCAATTTCAGCCCGACTCACTTCAGTTTTATGAATGAAATCATTATGCATCGGAGAGTGAACATGCCAGAAATTTACAGTAGAAAAGCTCATGATATCTGCTTTCTTTTGCCGAAGAAAGCGTCAAAATCGATGAACTATTGCCTGAGTTTTGACAGTTCAAACATTTTTTAGCGTGTTTTTTTTTAGGAACCAAAACTTCTTATTTTTCGACGGAGTCCATCTTTTTAATCCTAAATTTCTTTCTTCTCGAATTTGGTTGGGGAAAACCTGAATTAGTTCCATATAGAACAGGTTTTCAGCTTTTTAGTGGTGTGGCACATGTGGGTGGTCGGTCTGATACGGCGATGGTCGCGAGCAATATGCATAAAAATTGCTCGCTGGAACTGCCCAAAATTGCGAATGATAGTGAAGTAATCACGTGATATAAACACGTGCAACGTGCATGAGATATATATAGCTCAGTGGAAGACGGTTACGAAGATTAAAGGGATCCCGTTTGATTAAAGGGATCCCGTTTGATGAAATGTGTGTGTGTCTCTTTTTTTCTGTCCCTTTTCCCCTGTATCCCGATGCGACGGGGTTGGGCGGTGGGTTGGGGTGGGGATGGCCCGCGGGTGGGGCGGGGGAGGCCTGCAGGTGGGGTGGGGGAGGGGGAGGGGGAGGGGATGGGGTGGGGGCGGGGGAACAAAGACACAGTGGGTGGAATATGCACATTCTTTGGGTGAAGGGTGAAGGGCCATTGCATATATCCAAACACCTTGAGGGGCGGGGTGGGGTCCCCTGGGTGGGGGAAAGGAACGGGAGGGGGGTACTGAGAACCAGGATAATGGAATATTTCCTGTCTTTCATTTCTAACACCTGCACCATATCAGGACCCCATGGAAGGGGAGTGCACATAAGGGGTTGCCGGTGGAGGGGGGGGGGGAGGGCGCGTGGGGGAGGATGCCTCGTGAGTGTAGAGGGGGGTCGGGGGTAGAGTACTCAAAACCAGGAAGCTTAAAATCCGGGGGGGGGGGGGCTCAAAAGGAGGAGGGTGGAATTTCACATTTCCTTTTCTTTTTTTCGGTCCTTGCAACATATCCCGACCCTAGTGGCCGGTGGGTGGTGGGGGCCCCCACCAACACAGAAATCTTGATATGCAAATTAGGTAAACAGCGCCGCTCATTATAGCATCATCATGAAATTCTTGCTGACGCGCATGCCATCTACTTCGGCCAATTTTCGGCCAGACTCCTTCAGTTTTATGAATAATATCACTGTAGGCCTACATCGGAGGATGCACCTGCCAGAAATTTACATGCTGAAAGCAACAGAATGATGTCCGCCTCCTTTTGCCGAGACAGCGTCAAAATGAAAGGGTGAGTTTTGACGATTAAAATATTGTTTTCGCGTTTTCCTTTTTGGAACTCAAACTTCGTATTGTCCAAGGGAGTCCATCTTTTCAATCCTGTTTTTCTTCCTTCCAACATTTTGTTTGAAATCAAATGAATTAATTCCGAGTAGTTAAGTTTTTTAGCTGGCGAATGGTGTGGCCTAAGTGGGTGGTCGGTTTAATAGTGCGATGGTCGCGAGCAAAATGCATGGAAGTTTATCACTGGAACTGCCAAAAATTGCGAATGATTGTCAATTATTGATCACGCCGGCTTTATCCGGCCCGCCGGCACCGCGCGCGTTCTAATAAAAACCCAAGATTAATAAAATGATCGGTTACACCTCTATGTTCCGACACCCCTATGTTCCGACTGCACATATTCCTATTCCTAACCCTAACCCTAACCGGGAGTAACACAATCTAGGTTGTCGGAACATAGTGGTGTCGGAACATAGAGCAGTCACCAAATAATCAAGATGTTTTGTTTTCTGATAAATGATGTGACTTTATTATTGGGAATACCACTTTCTTTTTTTCCTTTCCCCTGCCCTGGATACCATATTCCGACCCTGGGGACAGGGCGGTGGGGGGTGGGGGGCGGAGCGTGGTGTTCAAACCACGCCAAGAGGGCTGAAATTGTTTTTTCCAACAAGTGAAGTTTGTCTTTTAATTTGGTGCAATGACGTTCCCGACCAGACTTTCTTTTACTGCGATATCATGGACCGGGCCGGGGTTGAGGCGGGACCGTATCATAAGTCCGACGCCTCATAGGTCCGACGCCTCATAAGTCCGAAATTTCGGACTTATGAGGCGTCGGACTTTATTTATTCCGCCTCATAGATCCGACGCCTCATAAGTCCAACGCCTCAAAAGTCCGACAACGGAAAAACGAGTGTCGGACTTACGAGGCGTCGGAGCTATGAGGCGTCGACCTATGAGGCGTCGGATTTATTAGGCGTCGGACCTATGAGGCGTCGGACTTATGGGCCTTTATTTGGTTAGGGGATGTGATTTTGTCGGACTTATGAGGCGTCGGACTTATGAGCGGACCCCGTTGAGGCCGGGTAGGGGTTGTGGGGGGGGGGGGGGGATTTCCCAAAACAAAGAGGGTGGAATGTCCTTTATGTTCTTTTAGTTATTAATCTTAAGACGTGCTGCTCTTGGGGGGGAGAGAGGTGGTGGGGCCGCATGAGTCGGGGGGGGGGGGGGGGGGTTAAGGTACTCCAAACCATGAGGGTTGAATATCCCGGGGAGCATCAGAAGGGGAGGGCCTGGAATTTCCCAATCTTCTTTTGTTTTCATCATCATCATCATCATCATCCCCATCATCCCCATCATCATCATCATCATCATCATCATCATCATCATCAGACGTCGTAGGCTACTGCCCGTTGACGCAACAACCGTCCACTTCTTCTGGGTTGTGTGACTGGTGAAGGGGTGATTTCCTTCGCTGAAGGGTCGCCGCAGTTAGTTTATCCACGCTGAGACCGCTCCATCTGGTGAGGCCGTCGATCCAGCGGAGTTTGGTCATTGCATTATATCCCGACCCTTGGAGACAGAGGGTGGGGGCCCCGACAAACTATTCACAGAAACCTTCGTATGCAACTAGGCGAACAGCTCCGCTCATGATGACGTCATTGTCAAGTTCTTGCTTCATTACGCGCATGACATCGTCTTCGGCCAATCTCACTGGGAGTCCATCTCTTCAATCCTATTTTTCTTCTTTCCAACATTTGGTTCGAATTCAAATGAATTTATTCCGAATAGTTGAGGTTTTCAGCTGTCGAATGGTGTGCCACATGTGGGTGGTCGGTTTGATAGTGCGATGGTCGCGAGCAATATGCATTGGCATTTTTTGATGGAACAGCCAAAAATTGCAAATGATTTTCAATAATTGATCACGCCATCACCGCTTGCGTTCTAATAAAAAAAACAAAATTAATCTAAAAAGCAAGATGTTTTGTTTTCTGATGAATGATGCACCTTTATTACATTATTGGGAGTAGGCCTACCCCTTTCATTTCATTTCCCCTGTCCTGGATATCATATTCAGACCCCCGGGGTGTGGCGGGGGCGGGGTGTGCGGTTCAAGCCATGCCAAGAAAGCTGAAATTATTTTCTTTTCCAACAGTGATTTTTGTCTTTTTACGGTGGTGGTGCAATTACGTTCCCGACCAGACTTTCTTTTTTACTGCGAGAAGTGACTGGGTTGGGGTGGGGGGGGGGGGGGGTTGAGCCGGGTAGGGGTTGTTGGGGGTCGGGGGATTTTCTTCCAGTGATTCTAAGTTCCAAATCTGCATGCCCAGTGGGTGGGTGTGGGCAGGGCTGGTGGATTTACCAAACAAAGGATTGCATATTCTTCAAGTGATTTTATTCAGACTTGCTTGCCCGTGGGTGGAGGGGGGGGGGGACGGGTTGGATTTCCCAAAACAAAGAGGATGGCATATCATTCCTGGGAGAGAGAGGGGGAGAGAGAGGTGGAGGGGTTATAGTACTCCGAACCAGGAGGGTTGAATATCCCCGGGAGAGCCGCAGATTGGGAGGGCCTGGAATTTCTCAATCTTCTTTTGATTTGGTCCTTGCATTATAATCCCGATCCTAGGGGCAGAGGGTGGGGGCCACGACAAACTATTCACAGAAACCTTCGTATGCAAATTAGGTGAACAGCGCCGAATTTTATGACGCAATCGTCAAATTCTTGCTTTAAAATACGCGCATGACATCGTCGTCGATCAATTTCGGCCACTCTCGCTAGGAGTAGGAGTCCATCTCTTCAATCCCGTTTGTCTTCTTTCCAGTATTTGGTTCAAATTCAAATGAATTTATTTCGAATAGTTGAGGATTTTAGCTGTCGAATGGTG